CAACAGTGTTTGCAGTTCTGGTAGGTTCCTAGACTGAAGTGCTTAAGTACAGATTTTGTATCTGTCAGCATTACCACATACTGTGAGCCAAGATTGGTATTTAGCAGTTTCTCTGTTGCTATCTTGATAGCCTGAGTATCTGCATCATAGTTATGGCAGTACTTCCCAGTTGGTACACTGGGCTTATCCAAGTACCATCTGGGAATTCTTTGTACACTCCAGCACCACCATTTCTAACTGCACTATGTGCGGAACTATCTGTATAAACTCTGACCCATTGTTCTTGTGGGTATTCTTTATCAATATAACTGAGGGTGGCCATTCTACGTTATACACTATTTTGCTCTTTCTTGTCAAATATTCCTTTTACATTTGTCTGGATTTGTACTGTTAGTTTGCATTTTTATCTTCATTGGGTTTGTTCTGGGATAATTGTACAACCAGTTTCTGGAAGGTCAGCAGTTTGTCTACATATTCTTTTTGCTTGTTTAACCCTACTAGACCTGAGCCCTGAACCTAACTGCCCCCTTTACCTGAGCTCCTGGCATCAACACGAAAAACCAATATGATATACAAAAATATTAGTTACATGCAAACAAGTGGTTAGAATAAGATGAAACTTGGAGACATTGTAGAAAATAGGTGTACCTTTAATCTAGCACCAATATTCAAACTTTGTGTGCAATTCCACCCAGACAGATTGACATTGTTTCACAAAGTGAGCACCAGATATTGCTGTTTGAGGGACACGCCTCCTTCTGTTACTATCGATCTAGTTTTAAATCTAATTTTTAAGACTCGCCTCACACTGACTGTGTCACTTCAACTGGGAACATATTCTTCACGAAATTCTAATTGCTCAACCAAAATGTCGATCACCTGAAAAGCCTAGACCTACTTCACTTTTCTGTCGAAGTGCCTGGTTCATCAGCCGCTCGTTTTATTGTGAATTTTCAGAATTTTTTCATGTCAAACCACACAAATAAAATCCAGACACACATGGGCAGCAATTTCGCAATGAATAACCACGAGGTCTGATTCCGATTGGCTAGTTATTTTTAGTTTGCGACACATTGTTTTCTCACTCAAATTCCCGACATTAAGGGACAGCAGTTTAGCGGCAGATTAAGAAATTCCCGTAATAGCGGGCCAGCGGTCATGTAGAGTTAACAAGCACCAGACACTCAACCAGTATTTTCTAAATGATGCAAAATTAAAAAGACAGCCAGTATTACAATATTGATTGCGGTTAAACCAAGTATATAGCAATATATTTTATATGTAGGGATAGAAAAGATTTTAAAAGAAATCTTCCTATATGACCCTTGTTAGAGAAGCCAGCATATAAACTCACTAATACCATCAAATGTATGCATTTTTTCTCATTAGCTGCAAAGTAATATATAGATAATGAGCATTGCAACTCCGGGCTATCCTCTGAATAACGGTCCCAAATTATCGAGGCCGAAAATATACCCTAACAGGGCATCAGTCACATGTAAATTTCCGATGACTATACCGCCACTGCCGAGAGTATCTCCCGCGATGCTACACGCGGCACAGAATGGGGCTCAACTAGATGGCTGTGACTCAAAGCAAATAAAATAAAGGAAGCTGCAGGAGATGCGGTAGCTGCTGCTTGTGGGTCCCAGCCATCCAGTTTAGCCCAACTCTGCACTGCGCGTAGCAGCGCGAGAGATACTTTTAGCGGTGACTTTAACTCAGCGGAAGCTTTTCCGCGGTGTGCTGTGTAGTGGCCAGAAAGTGGTCCGCAATTTACATGTGACTGAGGCGCTGTTAGGGTATATTTTCGGCCTTGATAATTTGGGGCAGTTATTTAGAGGTTAGCCCAACTCTGACATTAAGAAGTGGCTATTTTACAAGGTGCTGAAAATTCACTTTTCTTTTTTCTTAGCAGCTACAAATAATTATTTACCAGCTCATACAATTAAGGATATAATACAAATAAATGCTAAATTCAAGCTGCTGTAAATCACCTGAAAACTGCTGTAATGATTTAGTTATTTAATATTTTTCCAGGTAGCTACATGTATTTGCTTTTGACACTTGGTTGTCAGTTTGTGTTTATTGTTTTGATATGCCTTTCTGTTTCTTAGCCTTTAAAACTTTATAACTCATGACTTACTGATAGCATAACTTGTTACTGGTAATCTGGATCTATACATTCTGAATATACTTGTTCACTTGCTTCTATGAAGTGTCTTTATAAAAGACACTTTTATTGACAGAGTCATTCACACTTTTATTGACAGAGTAATTCAGCTGCTGATACATGAGGCTGCTTATAAGCTTTGGTGTTTGAATCTTGCAGAATATCCATATTTGTCATCATCTTGTCTCCTAATATTCCAAACATGGTTCTTTAATACTAAAGTTCCAGAATCTCAATTTTCTGAAAGCAGATACAAGGTGGTTTCAGTCTGACATCTGATTGTTGCTATAGGAGAGGCATTTTCTCAGAATTCTTACTTTGCATTGTCAAACAAAAGTCAGCAGCCATAGATCATTTTGAAAAATAAAATACTAGAATATAATTAATATGTTAGAATATTGAGTTTAGTACCACAGAAGCCGTGCCTAGGTTAACCTACTTGGTGTCCGTGTGATGTCTTGGTGACATAACTGGATGTACACTAAAGATGTTTAACAGGTAAATTGTTGTTCTGTTAAATGCAGTATTTGTAAAATTGTAACCATAATTAGTATGTTTCATTAATCTAGCCATAGAGCAGAGTATTACATTGAATTCACCACTTTACATTGGATTTGTCAACTATGAAAAAAGTCTTTGACATCAGTGACAGGGAATCTGTTTTGATGTAGCACTATGGGATCTCACGGAAAGTTATTAACATAGTAGAAGCAGATATAAAGATAGGATAGAAAATGTCCAGTTCTCCATGAGGGAAAACTAATAGATACATTTGAAATAATAACAGGTGTGCGAAAGGGATTTCTTTTGTTGCCACTACTAATTTCACTGACCTGATTATGAAGGCAGCAACAGCCACCACCAGGAATGGAATCCAGTGAACCCCTGCAAAATAGCTTAATGACCTGGACTTGACTGATGATAGTCTCTTCTATAAGACACATACAGTTAGATGTAAGACACATACAGTCAGGTGTAAGACACATACAGTCAGATGTAAGACACATACAGTCAGGTGTAAGACATACAGTCAGATGTAAGACACATACAGTCAGGTGTAAGATGCATACAGTCAGATGTAAGATGCATACAGTCAGATGTAAGACACATACAGTCAGGTGTAAGACACATACAGTCAGGTGTAAGACACATACAGTCAGGTGTAAGATAAATCAAACCTACTTAATGAGAGATCACAACAACAAGGTGTAAAATCCATAAGGGAAAAACAGAAAATGAGAATAAAACAGGCAAACAGTATTCTAGTTTCTGTTGATGAAATCCCACTCAAAGTCATACACCTGTTTGGGCAGTAATGAAGACGGGGAACTGATAGATTTATTAAAATGCAATACAAATGACAAGAGGAGTTTTCAAAGCACAAGGAAATTTGTGGAAGTCACCCAGCACCAAAGGAAAAGGTGAGACGGTTATACAATCAGACAGTTACCGGTGCTGTCAGAATTGGAACTCTTTACTTTGCTGCTGACGATGGGGAAAGATCACTTTTGATAATGTCCCCACCGCTGTGATGTTGATTCTTAATTCAGCATTGGACACTGGAAGTCAAAGAAAATGTAAACATGCTAAATTTAACATGTTTAATTCTAATGTTAAATCAGCACTTCTTTGCGGAGCGGTAAGATAGACAACTAAACCAGTTATGAATAAACTACAAAGATGCATCAACTGGTGCCTGTGCAGAAGAGAGAGAATTAGGGGGGCATGATAGATACTGAGCTTTGGGAGATAAGTCAACAAATTAGTTGAATCAAGAAGTGAAGAGGAGACGAGGGTGTTTAATAGTTATTTGAACTGAGATAACCTGAAAACAGTATAATTAGAATGTCTTTACCCTGGAACCCACAGGGGAATAGAAATATAGGCAGACTAGAAATACATGGGGAAGGGAGGTAGAGAATTTAGTTAAAAAGGTCAGAGAGGACACAAGAGTTGTATGCAATAGCAAAGGATAGGACTATTTGGCATGAGTTGGTTGAGGGCCTATGTTCTGTTGAGGCATAAAGAAGAAGAATGTTCACACTACGGAACTATATTTTCTAATTTTGTCTGACAGTTGGTTAGAATCCTGGGATCTCATTCAGAAGACCCACATATGAAACTTTGGTATAGCCTTCTTCTTCTACTACTTTTCTTTTAGAAGACTGATATCAGGAGGCCAGAGTCACCAAAGCTGTTATGCAGTCCATATCTACATGTTTACTGTACAGCTTTATCTTCATTTTGGTTGGAACAGGCCAGATTATGACTCTGTTGACAGTTTATAGTTGGCAGTGGTGGAGCACATGCTCAGCATTTTCTGGTGCCAAGTTGCAGGGACACATCTCAATGTTTGCTACACCACAAAGTGTGAACATATGTTGGCAAAGTGTGTTGTGCCCCGTCCTTAGTCTGAATGTAACATATTGTCCCTCTCTAGAGAGGTGATGAAGCTAGTCTGAATATACTTTTAAATATATTGAATATACTTATATCTGAACTCTTCAAGTATTTATTGATTTTAAGCCTGATTCACTGGAATAGCAGGAGTTAATGTAATAACTGTTTGCGATTGAAAGAGTTAATGTCTAGTCATTTAAATATATGAAAATGTTTATTATTAACCAAGCATAGGTCAGTGAAGAAACACACATACATGTATTCAATGATTTTCCTTTGTTACAATCCGTCTTCAGGTCCTGCTATTAAGTTGTGCAGCATTTGGGACTTCAGGGTGATTGCTACATCTGATTTGCTCCAGAACTGTTTTGTACATGCATTTCAGCAAACGGTTGTGCTTGCAGATTTTCTCATTTCTGTCAGTAGAATGGCTACACTTGGAAATGATTGCTATTTCTTTTGCACGTCAACTTGTGCTAAGGTATTTTTTTCTTGAATAATATAAATTAACATTAAATTATCTAATTAGTCTAAACTGTATTTTTGTACCTAGTGGCATGTCTCCATAATGATCCAGCTGACTGTTGATGTTGACCTCTTTATACTGGCTGAAAAATTGAATCTGGAATATTTGTACCAACAGCTTTCCTGTTCTTGACGAGTTTGATAGCCTTCTAAAGCACACAATTAGGGGGATGCATCGCACTTGGCAAATATCTAGGGGCTATGTTTGTAAATGTCAGACCTCCACATATACACCCAGGATTCCCTCAGACAACGTACCATAGCCACCCACTCTCATTGACGCGGGACATGCTGATGGTGATTACTACTGGATTAAAGGCCAGCCCACCACTGCTACTGATGACACAGTCAGCACACCAGGTTGGGTACTCAGTGTAGTCATTCTCAGAGTGCCACCATTTATCTGGTCAGCAACTCAACATTATAGGCAGCCTTGGTAGTCGGTTTTGACAACCACGCAGTGCCGACATTTCGGTTAGCACAACAGGAATGAAAACAGCTAGGTAGCCATTTTTTTTACTTCCCCGAGGGCCGCGTTAGCGCAGTCGATAAGAAGCTCGCTTTCAAATCCAACTGCAACTCGCTGCAGCCCACGGCTGGTGTTAAAACCGGGTGGCTCCCGGGGTTCACCCAGCCTCTAGGAAAAGTGTACCAGAGTGATACTCTGGGGTAAATGGAGGAACGTCACTGTAGCTACAGAGTTACGTGCGAACAGCGACTTAGAATCGGACAATTCTTATCAGCTGTCCGTACTGGTGGCAGAGCACTTATGGTTTATAACTGTGTGCAATGACGCTGGTTCACATCTCCCGACTTTTTTTTTTTTACTCCCAGCTTGTGATTTCAGAAGCATATGACCTCCGTAATTAGGTCAATTAATAGGTGCAACCTTTTTTCGTACTGTAAACCAATAACATGTTCTAGTCTGTGCCTACACTTTCTAGTTTGTGCCTACACTCCCTGGTCTGTGCCTACACTCTAGTAATTTCCTGTACACTAGACAATTTCACTGTCCTAACGTCTCTGTGTCATAAATATTTTTTATATGGCCACTGCTGTTGAGTGTAGTGAGGTTTGGCCTTTGTTGCTGCAGCTAATGTTCTCTCAGCATAAGTTTGGCCTGCAAATAGTGGTGTGGTTACTGCTGTCGAGTGTAGTGAGGTTTGGCCTTTGTTGTTGCAGCTAATGTTCTCTCAGCATAAGTTTGGCCTGCAAATAGTGTTGTGGTTACTGCTGTCGAATGTAGTGAGGTTTGGCCTTTGTTGCTGCAGCTAATGTTCTCTCAGCATAAGTTTGGCCTGCAAATAGTGGTGTGGTTACTGCTGTTGAGTGTAGTGAGGTTTGGCCTTTGTTGCTGCAGCTAATGTTCTCTCAGCATAAGTTTGGCCTTCAAATAGTGTTGTGGTTACTGCTGTTGAGTGTAGTGAGGTTTGGCCTTTGTTGTTGCAGCTAATGTTCTCTCAGCATAAGTTTGGCCTTCAAATAGTGTTGTGGTTACTGCTGTCCAGTGTAATGAGGTTTGGCCTTTGTTGCTGCAGCTAATGTTCTCTCAGCCTCCAAATAGTGTTGTGGTTACTGCTGTCCAGTGTAATGAGGTTTGGCCTTTGTTGCTGAAACTAATGTTCTCTCATCATAAGTTTGGCCTCAAAATAATGTTGTGGTAACTGCTGTCGAATGTAGTGAGGTTTGGCCTTTGTTGCTGCAGCTAATGTTCTCTCAGCATAAGTTTGGCCTCCAAATAGTGTTGTGGTTACTGCTGTTGAGTGTAGTGAGGTTTGGCCTTTGTTGCTGCAGCTAATGTTCTCTCAGCATAAGTTTGGCCTCCAAATAGTGTTGTGGTTACTGCTGTTGAGTGTAGTGAGGTTTGGCCTTTGTTGCTGCAGCTAATGTTCTCTCAGCATAAGTTTGGCCTCCAAATAGTGTTGTGGTTACTGCTGTTGAGTGTAGTGAGGTTTGGCCTTTGTTGCTGCAGCTAATGTTCTCTCAGCATAAGTTTGGCCTCCAAATAGTGTTGTGGTTACTGCTGTCCAGTGTAGTGAGGTTTGGCCTTTGTTGCTGCAGCTAATGTGATCTCAGCATAAGTTTGGCCTGCAAATATTTTTGTGGTTACTGCTGTCCAATGTAGTGAGGTTTGGCCTTTGTTGCTGCAGCTAATGTTTTCTCAGCATAAGTTAGGCCTGCAAATACTGTTGTGGTTACTACTGTCGAGTGTAGTGAGGTTTGGCCTTTGTTACTGCAGCTAATGTTCTTTCAGCATAAGTTTGGCCTGCAAATAGTGTTGTGGTTACTGCTGTTGAGTGTAGTGAGGTTTGGCCTTTGTTGCTGCAGCTAATGTTCTTTCAGCATAAGTTTGGCCTCCAAATAGTGTTGTGGTTACTGCTGTCCAGTGTAATGGTATTTCATATAGGTACAATCCAGCGTTGGGAGATTTAGTCCCCAATGTAGGTAGGCTAGGCCCCCCTCTGGCTTTCACTCCATCGTCAAGAGGATTAGCTCCCATTTATTAAATATGACAAAAGCTTCCAAGGTGCCAGCTATCTACAAGCCGATGACAAGCAATGCAGGAGGCACAAAGACTGAGCACAGCTTAGCCATTGAAGCTTGGCTGTGCCGTGATGCATGGAATCACATGAGAATCAAAGGAGAGGCCTATTGAACCAAGGAGCAAACAATATAGCATGATTCTTGTAACAAAGTTACAAATTATGATATCAAGTAAAGATATAAAACCGAACGAAAAGTATATCTGCAAGCTTTACAATATAACGAACACAGACAAAATTGGAACTTTGCGGCTGTGGAGCCTTTATCAGCACATACATAAATAAAACAATACCACACAAATATACAAAATCACCTATCTAGTTTCTCGAAGCGGCCAGGTTGATATCTTGTTGGTAGACTGGCGAGGCATTTGGGACCAGAGAATAAATACCCCTGGGGAATTCCATGGAGCGTAACTGGAATGTGTAAGTTAAAACTGTGTGGGCAGTTCTGTCCCTTAGGATTTAAGATGAAACTGTGTTGGCAGTTCAGTCTTCTAGTTGTTAAAGTGCCCAGAATAAAAATAAAGCGAATTTTGATATGTCTGGCACAGGTTACATATCCTTAGGAACATGTAACCACCAACACTACATGAGAACGCTGTAATACATAACATATCAGGTATGATCTTATAAGGTGATCAGTCTCTCTATTATGCGTTGTTGATGATTTTGTGATCAATGGTTTACTGTCGGTCCACTACTTCCTGCCAAATACTCTTTCATCGGCAGTATTCAGAACATGGACAAAACACCCTGACGAATGATGTACGGGTGACTCACGCCCGACTGCGCAGGTACACCTATGTGGTGTGTTGTGACAGTCTGCTGATGGATGTAATGTCCTAAGTCCCTTCCCCAGCTTATAATGAGGGTACTGCCTATGGTGACCGTTAATTAACCCTCATATAATGCTTCAGGTCAAAATGGACACTAGGCAGGGCCACCTTTTTTTTTTTTTACATACTGGTCTAGTCCTTGAATGCATGATTGCACTGTGGGCAACAGCACTTACAACATTATTGCACTGTGGGCAACAGTACTTACAACAATATTGAACTGTGGACAACAGCACTTATAAAATTATTGAACTGTGGGCTGCAGCACTTACAACATTATTGCACTGTGGGCAACAGCACTTACATTATTGCACTGTGGGCAACAGCGCTTACACTATTGCACTGTGGGCAACAGCGCTTACAACATGATTGCACTGTGGGCAACAGCACTGACAACATTATTGCACTGTGGGCAACATCACTTACAACATTATTGCACTGTGGGCAACAGCACTTACAACATTATTGCACTGTGGGCAACAGCACTTACAACATGATTGCACCGTGGGCAACAGCACTTACAACATTATAGGCACTGTGGGCAACAGCACTTACAACATTATTGCTCTGTGGGAAACAGCATTTGCAACATTATTGCACTGTGGGCAACAGCACTTACAACATTATTTAACTGGGCAACAGCACTTACAACATTATTGAACTGTTAAATGCCAGGGTGTTTGCTGATGTCTGTGAAAGCTTTTCTGGAAGATATTGAGTTAAGTTACTATAGAATATGTCGAGTTTGCTGAGTTGGGAGTTAAATTACTGCATCATCAAACTTCTGTCTTTATAATCAGATATTAACCTTTAGCGTTTTATATTTGATAGCAAACTTGTGGTAGAAGTATGTTGTTTATCACTGATGATCGATAATGTCCCTTGAATGTTATTCACGGGCATTAGAGGCATGCTCATGTTCAATGCCTAAAGACAGTTGACTCCCTCTTATACCACTTGAGGTGTCAAGGAAGATAAAAGTTCTGCTGCTTGCTGTTCTGGCCACCTCAACCTTAGACTCATCAAGGTGTTGTAGTTTTCTGATATCATCTTTCCAATTCCTGGTCTACTTTGTGCTCTACATCCTTCTCTTTGGGTTTGTGTGTGGATACTTGATTAATGATGACAGGCCAGTGTTCACTGTCTGACATGTTGTTTCTGAAGCTAAGTATCAAACTTCAAGATACTTGTTCACTTATACCTGAAGTGTATAATGCAAGAATGTCAGCATTTCTTTTTTCTCTTTCAGGGAGCTGCCTGTCCATTTCGGCATGTAGAAGCTGCTAAAACCTGCAGAATTATCTGTCAGCACTGGCAGATGGGAGGTTGTTTAAGACCTATGTGCAAATTCAGGCATTCCGATTTTTTAGTAAGGATTTTCTCTGTAGTAGTTAGAATCATTAAATGTGAAATAAATTATTAATTCAATTTTGCTGAATCAACCAGTTTCCTTATTTATATTTAAAACAAAATGTTGACTATTATCTGTGAAAGTTGTAAGTTTGTTTTTCAGGTGTGGTACATTCTGCTTTAAAATAGGATCATAATTCTTCAGTATTTGCTGCAGACTGACATATTCATAAAGTGAAGGTCTGATCAATTTTGTTGACTGAAGTTTTTTGTGTGACCCTTGATGTCTTAGACCGCCTCTCTAGTATTTTTCTGCAAAGGTCAAGTTTGATATTTTGCGTTGTTTTCATTTATATGTCCTCATTTGTCTTTGCAGTAAGTTATGATGAGCAATTTAATAACACCTGCTGTCAATATAGGAGAGTTTATTTTCTTTCTTTCTGCATTAATTTTAGCATTTATCTCAATTACTGCAAACAGTAGTCTGGTTTTCATAGTTTTTCTCACTAATTTCATAGTCCCTGCTTCCAGGCTGCACACAACCTCTCAGTAAGTGGATTTCTATGTCTGTTTTTCATAGTTTTACAGATTCTGATAAGTCTACTGAATGTCATGGTGTAAACTACAAAAAAAAAAAAAAAAAAAAAAAAAAAAAAAAAAAAAAAAAAAAAAAAAAAAAAGCCATATGAATACATGTGTTGGTCAGTGGGGATACGTCACAGATGCAGTAAGCAGAAAGTGGACACTTGCCAGAAGTGAAAAATTGAGCTGATATTAGTATTTGCAAGCATTTCCTTATTAGAGTTTGAGGGGAAGATATTTTTGACAGCGTTGACAAGACATCTTACTGCATTGATTAGTTGTAGGTCTTCTTTAATGGTCACACTTATCCACTGTAGCCCAGTTTTGTGCTTTTTCTGTATTTCTTTTGTGCTACTAAGATGACATGTGTGATGGATTTGTTTATTTTGTTGCTGGATTTAGATACAGTCTATCAGACTCTTCCTGTGTCTTGGTCTTGCCTTCTGTGGAGATGTTCTGCTGTAGAAGGTCTCATATACAGGTTGGTCTGTCTGCATTCATACTAGATGACCAAACCACTTGTGTATTTCAGTGTAATTCAGATACAGTCTTGTTCCAGCATTTTCAAAAATTCCAGGATTTGTAACTCTATCCCTTCTTTTGTTGATGAAGCAGCCCATTTGACACATAGTTACTGCATGTTCCTCTGCTCTGTTTATTGTCTATGTTTAGTACTGATAGACTCAAGTGGAAATTATTTGGGTGTCTCACCAGTGGGATTAGCTGTCTGGAATCCAGCTTCTGCCATCTTCTTCAAATTTGTTTCCGAACTATTGATTTCTGCTGCCTGTTTGATCATAGTACCATTGACATAAACATTCATGCTATAATGATTTTTGTGTATTTTTTTTTTTTTTTTTTCCTTGACAAGCAGTTTGACTATAAATGTCATGACTAAAAGTTAGCATATCCTTTACAGAACGTTGCACAACCAACCCTAAAATATTTTGACTGTTGTGGTTTTTCTAGACACATTTTATGTTCAGTAGTTTGCCATTTCTTTCTAAATGGTCAGCTCTCAGGACCACCACCAAAACCAACCGAAGACAAATTGTCAGCAGCTGAGATCAAACACAGTACCCCGGCATTATGAAGCACGTTCGCAACGCCTAAGCCATAGACACCGACCATGACTATAACTATAGTAATAACCTGACTGGTGCCACAGACAATGACCATGACTATAACTATAGTGATAACTTGACTGGTGCCACAGTCACCGACCATGACTATAACTTTATTGATAACCTGACTGGTGCCACAGACACCGACCATGACAATAACTATAGCGATAACCTGACTGGTGCTACAGACACTGATCATGACTATAACTATAGCGATAACCTGACTGGTGCCACAGACACTGACCATGACTATAACTATAGCGGTAACCTGACTGGTGCCACAGACACCGACCATGACAATAACTTTAGTAATAACCTGACTGGTGCCACAGACACTGATCATGACTATAACTATAGTGATAACTTGACTGGTGTCACAGTCACTGATCATGACTATAACTTTAGTGATAACCTGACTGGTGCCACAGACACTGATCATGACTATAACTATAGCGATAACCTGACTGGTGCCACAGACACCGACCATGACTATAACTATAGCAGTAACCTGACTGGTGCCACAGACACCGACCATGACTAAAGCGATAATCTGATTGGTGCCACAAACCTTCACCCAGACCTGCTTTTCCACTGACTCAGTGAGTCTGATCAGGAAGATTAAGATGGGCTGGGCCCAAAGTCTCTAAGGGGATCTTTGGGTGACAAAGATCAGTTTTATTTTTATGGCAGGCTGTGCAATCTAAAAGGAAATGAGCAAGCTGAAAGGATTGCAGATAAGGCTTCTGTGGAGGGTTGATGAGGCTCCACCTGCCTAATTTACTGAATGCTATACGAGTTTGATGTAAAATAAGGGTGATTTGTTGTCATAACTAAAAGACACTTATAAAAACCATACTGAAATTAAAGGTGGAATTTAGGAAAGCTGACAAAAAGTTCACAGTAAAGTAAGCGAGAGGATGGTATTGGAAGGGGCACAAACAGCAGTCTTAGTATACAACTAGGATTGGAGGTAGGCAGCATATCCAGTACAACCAACCTTTATTGTAGGGATGCCATCTGGTTTATCACAGGCAATCACTCTGTAAATAAATATCAGAACCAACAGATATTCTGAGCATTGTTGTTGTTTAAAAAAAATAGATGAAAGAGTTTTGTGATAGTGCTGTGATTGAGTACCTGATGATTTTATCACTTGTCCAGATGCAGGTTGACACTGGTGAAGTTCCTTGCTACTGGGAATCACAACCTGCTGGCTGCATGAAAAAGAATTGTCCTTACAAACACTCAAAGCCAGTGCAAGTTGATGACAAGACAGCAGCAGGTATAGTCAAACCAGATGTTTCACATGTAATTACCGTCACACATTGGTTATACTTGTCACCATTTATTTATTTTATTATTTATAGTTGCAAGTGTTGCTAGCCCAGGCAAAAAATGCCTGCAGAATTAAGATGTGTCAGTCTTAAGACGCATCATTGCAGCTATGTTGTAAATAGGCACAATGTGATGACTTCTTCAGATGAATGCATTCAAAGAATTCTTCCTTTTTTTTTAATCCAAAGGGCAGAGATTAACTTAGCTTATTGTTTTATGAATGCAGTTTCCAAATTTTGTTGTTACCAGAGATCATCAGAATTGAGACGTGCTCTGCTGATTAGCGTAGCCGGTTGTGGTTCACCCTCTGACATGATCGCAGAATAATTAATCGGGTCTATGTAGCCAAGAGAAGCAGAACAGAAAATTGGTAACCATGGAAATGAGATGTCTCTGAAGGGCTACAGGAGTGACCAGAAGAGATCAAATCAGGTGTACAGTATAAGAGAAATCATGTGTACAGTATAAGAGAAAACAGGTGTACAGTATAAGAGACAACAGGTGTACAATATAAGAGAAAACAGGTGTACAGTATAAGAAAACAGATGAACAGTACCAGAAGAGATCAAATCAGGTGTACAGTGTAAGAGAAAAACAGGTGTACAGTATAAGAGAAAACAGGTGTACAGTATAAGAGAAAACAGGTGTACAGTATAAGAGAAAACAGGTGTACAGTGTAAGAGAAAACAGGTGTACAGTATAAGAGAAAACATGTGTACAGTATAAGAGAAAAAAGGTGTACAGTATAAGAAAACAGGTGTACAGTATAAGAGAAAACAGGTGTACAGTGTAAGAGAAAACAGGTGTACAGTATAAGAGAAAACAGGTGTACAGTATAAGAGAGAACAGGTGTACAGTATAAGAGAAAAAAATGGGTACGGAACCAATTCTGAATTACATACAAAGACAACAGATCGTATGGTTTGCCCACTTAGAATATTTGGTGACACCATACCATACAAGGCATACATCAGAAGAGGAGAAGACTCAGAGCTCAAGCTAGACGAAGAATAAGATAACATCAGAGAAACAATATATCAGCATGATGTGTCTGGGGTCGAGGCAGCCAGAAGAAGAAGAACCTTACATTTTCTTCAACACCCAAAGCTGTCAAAGAGGAAGTTCAGAAAAAGAATATGTCTGATATCTTTTTATTGGTGCGCATCTGTTGCATCTTGCTGAAGGCTACTTTCACCTTTGCGATTCTTGTTCTACTCTCTGCTGTTGTGTCAATTGTTAAGACTTCCAAGATAAGTATACCAAATCACTTGATTAAAAATGATAATTTCTCCATTGCTGGGCATTATGGTTTACTTAATTGTAATATAAACATTAATTGTACTTTGTTTTGTCTAGGTGCTTTATCACTGCAAGTTGACCCTACTGTGACTGCATCACAAAACAATGAGAGTACACCAAACAGTCAGGATATCAAATCGCAGAATGTTCAGCCAATAGTAACATCTGCTGCTAGCCAGTCTTCAGGTATGTCATTTTAAATTACATTTAAAAACTTTTGAGATTCATATCCATTGGGCAGTCTTAACAAATATTAATCACAAAAACATATATGGGTGCTGTGCAGTCAACCTCCACTTTGGAGATGAATCACAATCTGTTTGAATTGCTTTTGTAGGACTTTGCTTCTAAGTTGTTTACTGTTGTTCATATTGCATTATTTCCATTTTCTTTTCTTTGAAAATTTTCTTTGGTCACATTGATTTGTGTGTAGATACTTCATACTAATCCTAGCTCCTAACCCTAACTTTCTATCTTACATCTAATCTGATCTGACCTGTTATTGATGCTTTTTTAATGTAAAAATACCTTCAAATCTGTGATATCAGAAATGTTTTTACTTTAACAATTCACTGGCTCAATATCTAGCAGTGACAGGATTCCTTTTCTCCCTTTCCTGTATGAGCCAGCTTCATAAAATGGGCACCAGATAGTTTGTAGAATTCTCCACGAAGTATCTGTAAGAGAAATGCTATGAATCAGGAATTGACATCACAGCACTAGGACATTCCCACACGTGCTCTGTCCCCTTCTTCAGTAGCCAACGAAGAGTTGACATGCTAATAGAACTAGTTGCAACCTGATTAAAAGTACACATATGTTTCACCCTTAGTGTTGCATATCTTCTAGAACCTCAACTCGCCCCCTGTTGAATTATTCTTTCAGTGTATGGATTCTCTGTCTGTTCTGTTGCACTGTCCATTTGATCCCAGAGAACCTCCACTACATCCACTTTACCACATAAAGTAGCTTACCACCCAGAGGAGCAGCAGCAATGAATCCACCTGCCAGCTCGTTACCTCACAAACCTGCATATCCTGGATGGAAAATCCATAATCTGCCACTGATCTCTTATCAAGTGATGCTGCTGTTACTGCTTCTTTTTTTATTTTGATACTGGATGTAGTAACGTTATACATGAAGCTCTCTGTTTTTAGACAGTAGAGAAAGGCTATGAGGAAGGGAACTGACCACCACAAATCATCATGATTTGTTTAGAATCTGTGAAGGCTTTATACTAAAATCTCCAGTGTCAGTATCTGTTATGGCAACTAATTTGACTAACCCCTCCTCCCCCCCTCTCCCTTTCTCTGTGTGCACAAATGGATGTGTATGTGCATAAGTGTATGCATGCATGTGTGTGAGTACATGCATGCATGCATTTATACCTTTGTATATATTGGGGTCAGGTTGAAGACAGGTAATCCAGAATGTTGGTAAGTTCAGAGAAATTATAGAATCACTAATGTTGAGCTTCATGAGAGGATTGAACAGGTTCCAGTCATCCAAGGGCTACAGAAAAGACACTGGCATTGGATAGGAGACACTTTGAAAATCCCTGAGTACAGTATAACTTTGCACTGGAACTCACAGGGGCAAAGAAATAAAGGCAGACCAAGAAACACATGGAGAAGGGAGTGGGGGAGTGAAGTTAAAAAGATAGGGAGGACAAAGGGTGAGCTGCATTTAATAGTTCAGTATAAAGCAAAATAAATTGAGGGGTATTGGTTTACGATGTTGCATCAAGAATCAGATACTATGATGATAATGCATCAGTCAATAAATTCCAAAAAACATGAAAGTGACGGTATTTTGATGAATTTAATTATAAAGACTAAGAATAGCACAACTTGCAAGGGGAATCTAAAAGAACCTTAGACATATCTCAGTTTGAGCCTTCTTTCCTAGCCTGTTGTCCTCCCAAGCAGAAGACTAAGAAGCAGGTCGTTCATTGGACCATCTGCTTTTGATAATTGCTGACAGGTCCTTGCCCTTGATGGGAACTGTGATACAAGAAACAAGCGCAGATATAATATATATGTATATATGTCTTACATAGCCTGCCTTCCCACTCCATTCCTGTCATGATAGTTGAAGTACAAAGTCTGTTGTCTCACACTGATGTCCTTCATAGCCTGCCTTCCCACTCCAGTCATGTAGTCATGTCATGATAGTTGAAGTACAAAGTCTGTTGTCCATCTTCACTCAGACTTCAAAATTGGCTGACATGGTTTGACATGGACATGTGGTAACAGGTTATGTCCTGAAACCCCCCAGACTTTATGTGCAGGCTGTCCCGAATATTATATCTCCTGTGACAGTTAATTATTTACTCTCATGGTTGTCCCCTGGGTTGTCAATCCCCTGGGTTGTCGATCCCCTAGGTTGTCGATCCCCTGGGTTGTCGATCCCCTGGGTTGTCGATCCCCTGGGTAGGTAAACACATTAAACTGAGTACCCGGTGCGCTAGCAAAACCAGCACCATATGGCTGCACATGTGGGCATCATATCCCAACAATCAAGGCCCATGGTTTTGTTGATGTTTGAAACAAAATAATTTCATTACATTTCATTAAAATAAATTTCTGTATTCAAGTCTTATTTTATAGACATGAAACCATACACCGAAAACATGTAATACAAACAAGAAATAGGAAAGGTTTACCAGCTCTCTGAGAACTATTCAAGCAGAAAGTGTATTTAGATAATTCAAGGAAAATAGAATAGCATAGCTAGAGTTCTAACAGATGATTAAAAGAGTGAAATAATAAATATTCAATCATTCTTCTTCTTCTTCATCACTCGGAGCCCTTGAGGTTCATTGCTGCAGATATCACCCGCCTCCATTCATCTCTCTGGTTGGCCTTCTTCTTCAGCACTCGGAGCCCTTGAGGTTCATTGCTGCAGATATCACCCGCCTCCATTCATCTCTCTGGTTGGCCCTCTCTTTCCAATTGGTGACACCAAGTGTTTGTAGGTCTGTCTAGACATCTCTCCATCCTCTTCTTGGTCTGCCTCATGGTATAGGACCATTCATCTCCCTGGTGTATACAATTTTTGCTTCTCTGTCATTTGACATTCTTTCAATCATACCTGGGAAAATTCCAGATATTTGCCAAAAAGACACACACAGCTAGGATAACTTTCTAGTGCAGCTCTTAAAAAAAAAAAGTAAAGATCCCTTATTACGCCTTAAGGCGCATCAGGTATATGGGCAGTGTGTCTCATATTTTTACAGACCAATCGTCGCTCGGTGGGTAATGTGGTCAGCATTACGCCGGTCGTCTTTACTTTCCCAGGACAGCCATCCTGGTACCCATTTGAGGCTGGGTCCACCTGCGACGTCCCATACCATGATAAAAATCCACGCAGCCTGCAGTGGGTTTCGATCGCGGTACGTTGGATTACGGGTCGGACTTAGTCGGTGGCATTGCTGGCAGTTGTCTGAATTGAATTCAGGACTCCTCACTGTATTATTCTTTCCCCCTTATCTCAATTAGCAGTTTAGCTTAGCTTCTCCCCTTATCTGTGTCAAACTCTATCCTTCAGGCTATACACATTTTGCCTTGTGGCTGTCAATCAATTGACTGCCCACCTAATGATCAAACTTTCTAAAGTAGATCCAATCTGGCTCTGCCAAGTGTCAGTAAAGGGTGAGAAACCAGTCAAATGGGAGCCATCAAGTCTTGACCCCCCCCCGCCCCCCGCCTTGGTACAGGTTCAGAAGGCTTGTCCGATTATAACATTTCTGACACCTCAGGTGGACTGGCTGGTTATATTATGTAATCTCAGGTCAGGACTAGTTTCTTTATCTGATCTGAGAACTGGAAACAGTTTTTAATTCATCATGGTTTTAGTATTTAGGACTTAGTGCAGAGTAATTATAATTATTAGTTACTTTAGTGAGTAAAGAAATTGTATTAACTCATTCAGTCCTTTACAGCATATGATGTGTGACTAAGTGTGAACAAGTCACAATATTATGATGCTTGTACATTTTATGTTTGGACACGGTGTAGTCAAGGACCCAACAACACACCACTCTTCTACAAGTAATGTGTATTTAGCTTCTGTGGATGTAGTATACCCATGAGTTTGCTGCTGTCATTAGTTACTCCCTCATCTTCTGGGTCTGAACAAATTAATTCTGAAATCGCTGAGGTGGTTTCATCACAATGGGTCAATGACACCACATGTTTGTCACCGTACAGACATAACTATCAATAGTGAATATGTCATCTTTACAGGCATAACTATCAATAGTGAATATGTCATCTTTACAGGCATAACTATCAATAGTGAATATGTCATCTTTACAGACATAACTATCAATAGTGAATATGCCATCGTTACAGACATAACTATCAATAGTGAATATGTCATCTTTCCAGACATAACTATCAATAGTGAATATGCCATCGTTACAGACATAACTATCAATAGTGAATATGTCATCTTTACAGAGTTAACTTATAGTCAGTATGTCATCTTTACAGACATAACTATCAATAGTGAATATGCCATCTTTACAGACATAACTATCAATAATGAATATGTCATCTTTACAGACATAACTATCAATAATTAATATGTCATCTTTACAGACATAACTATCAATAGTGAATATGCCATCTTTACAGACATAACTATCAATAGTGAATATGTCATCTTTACAGACATAACTATCAATAGTGAATATGCCATCTTTACAGACATAACTATCAGTAGTGAATATGTCATCTTTACAGACATAACTATCAATAGTGAATATGCCATCTTTACAGACATAACTATCAATAGTGAATATGTCATCTTTACAGACATAACTATCAGTAGTGAATATGTCATCTTTACAGACATAACTATCGATAGTGAATATGTCATCTTTACAGACATAACTATCAGTAGTGAATATGTCATCTTTACAGACATAACTATCAATAGTGAATATGTCATCATCACAGACATAACTATCAATAGTGAATATACCATCTTTACAGACATAACTATCAATAGTGAATATGCCATTTTTACAGACATAACTGTCACCAACAATACACGAAGAGACAGAGTCACAAACGTCAGCATTAGAGCCAAAGTTGGAACAAGAGCATGCATGGAATATATTGAAAGACAGAGAATGAAGTGGTTTGGTCATTTAGTAAGAATGCACCCGGATCAGATTGCCTATAAGGCCTTTTACAATAGAACATCGGGAAGAAAGGCCAAAGGAAGACCCAGGAAAAAAATGGATAGATGGAGTAGCTGAATACGGCCAGAAGATCCAGAAAACTGTCACTCAAATCACGCGAGAGGCACAAAACAAATATTTTAAACCACGACACTGGGCTGCAACCCGGTAAAAGGGAAGAAGACAATAGATAGATAGATAGACAGACATAACTATCAATAGTGAATCTGTCATCTTTAGTTTACTTTTTATTTTTATATTCCTGCAGCTGCTGGATATAGTTATGCAAATAGCCTGCATTTGTATTTTCACAGACATGTATGCTTGTATATTTTATTCTCTGAAGAGACATACAGTATACAATAACAAAAACTGTGTGTGCATCATTTAAAAACTGAATATAAAAACACCTTATTGATGCAGTTTTTCAATTGAATTATTGCATTTACACCTTATTTCATGTTTGAATTTTCTTCTGCAGGTGATTCAGAAAGTGCCAGTTTATCTCAAAAACAACTTTCTCTTCATGACATTCAAGCAGATAAACCAAAAACAGAGTCAGATGATTCCAGAGACCTAAAGAGTGACAGTGGCAGTTTATCTGTTACACTACAAGAACCAAAAGTTAAGAGAAAGAAAATGAAAGTATCACCACTTAATACAATAAAACAGAAATCGGTTACAGCAATGCAGAAAAAGAGACAAAAGAATGCTGTAGATAGCTCTGCAGCAGAATGTGCAGTTCAGTTGAAAAAAAATCCTCATCAGGCACGGAGGAGTGTGAAGGAACGACTAGGAAGGGCACCAGCATCCAGGCCAACAATATCACATTTACCTGAAGAGAGTGATAGTGGGTCAGGCTCAGGTATGGTTGCAAACTATCATTCATTTACTAATCAGTTGTCAATTGATGTGTACATAACTGATCTATTCCTAGCCTATGTATTATCTTGGCACACAAATAGGCTGACCACAATATACTGAGCTGAAACAGGATATCCAATTAATATTTTAAGGTAAAACGGAATATCCCAAGCAAGTCAGTTTAACCGTGTCTTTTTTTTTTGGTGAGAATTTTTTTTTCTTTCTTGCCAATGGTACTAAAACACAAACTATTGTTACCAAGGAATGAAACAAAAAATTCTCTTTAACTGCCCTGAAAGAAAGGGGGAAAAAACATTTTACAGTGAAGATTTCCATTTACAGTTTTCAGGCATTGGAAGTATCTAGAACAGTGCGATCTAGTAAGATATACAGATCTGACCATAAATGTATATTGTTATTCTCTAGCTAATGAATAGATTTGTAAAAAAAAATAGGACATTTGGCATTTTTATTTTAAGAGTACAGACTAGGCGTACAGGACACACTTAAAAAAAAAAAAAATGGGACTGCCTGTGAAAATGGGACATAAGGGCACCTAACACATAAGGGAAGCAGAGTATAATAAAACTGTGACTGACCTTTTTTGCCATAAGATGCGACTTGAGGAGTTTTAATTCAAGAATGGCTACTACTTCTTTGTTCTGCTGCTTTTGCCACAAAGTGTTGCATAGATGATTTGTGTATAGTTTCCGGTGCTCTACTAGTTAATGTCATTTTATAGGTCTTTAGTGTTTTTTCTGCTCCCTCCACCCATCTCTTTCTTGACTTGTAGCCTGCTGTACTTATGTAGTGTGCTCTAGCCTGTGCCTCGGGTTACAAAGACTTCATCAACAGCATCTTGTCCTGGTCGGTGCTTATGAATGACTGGGTTATACAGTCGTGAACAGGGAGCATCTGGTTAGGGGGTGGGGTGGCGCCAGGTGTATGGACATCCCTTGCCTCTTCCCTATCAAGCAGGCAGTACTAGGGTGACTGTTTACTTCCTGCACTGAAAGATTATTTTCTATGGCAGGGTTCATAGCTGACCTTGAGACCTTGAAAAAGTCGGGAACTGCAAGATCCCTCTCAAGGCCTTCAAAAAACTCGTCTTCCCTATCCAGTAGGATTTATGTAACTAATGTATCCAGGGCACTCATATCTATGTTCAATTCCTGCATCATGATGATATTAAAATCATAAATCAGTCTTTCCAGTACAGGTCCTCTCTGCTTTGCACTATGACAATTCCATTACTGCTGGGGGAAAATGGGTTGAAGCATGGGGTTCTTGACATGGGCCTGTGGAATCTTAGTACACTAGAAATTCAGGGTATACAGATAGATAATGGGAGAACAACCTGGAATTTAGTAAATGTTTACACTGCTGTTGAATCTCTTGTCACAAAGGAACATTAGGACTGGCTCAAAGAGTTGGAGGAAATCCCTGCTAATAGGCTTCAGTGGGATTTCGGTGCGCTGAACAGAGCACGAGACAGTATTGGGGAAAACAGGCAAGAAAATGCTTTAGCGGCGGCTATGGTGGATGCAGACGTAGTTTGCATAAATGACGGTAGGCCAACAAGAATGGCAACGAGACTTGGTGAATCAGACACGGCCATTGATTTAGCGTTTGTTACCCAGTCAGCAGTGCTGGACACAAAATGTCCTAGGTGATCATAGGAGTGACCATATGCCATGCTCAGTCTTGATTTCTAAAGCTAGCAAGATCAGGGCCGAGAGAACGTGCAAGACTTTTAAGCATGAGAGGGACAAAACCCTTCTTGGACGCTTGGATATATATTTATTTATATATATTATATTATAATATTGCCTTCAGCAGATTGTACAAAAATGTTTGGTACAGAAGTTGCATAACCCTGCAGACAAAGCTTAAAGTATACACAGCACTTGTATTTACTGCACTGCTGTACACATGCGAAACATAGACTGTATACCAGCGCCAGGCTAGAAAGTTAAACAGCTTTCACACAGTCTGCCTTAGAAAACTAATGCAGATCAGATGGCAAGACACAGTACCTGATACCGTAGTCCTGGAGAAAGCAGCCAGGCCCAGCATCCACACTCTACCGATGCAGTGTCAGATTCGTTGGGCTGGTCATGTGGTACTCATGCCAGATCACAGGCTCCCAATAAAACTCTTCTGTGGTGTGCTGCAAAATTGGTAATGTTCCCAAGGCGGGCAGAAGAAATGCTACATGTGAAGCAAACAGAACAGCAAGACTGATTAAGAAAAGGATGGACAGAAAGGCAACTGCAGGAGATTTCCTCTCTTGCACAACGCTCATTCCCTGTCCTCACTGTCCAAGAACTTTTCGTGCCCGCATCGGCCTCATCGGTCATCTTCGTACTCATACTTGATGAAAAAGAGTGGTCATCATCATCTTGATGGACACACACACATATATATTATAACATAAAAGTTAAAAAAAACCTTTTCACACCTTTACACACATCGGGTAAATGGGAAGAGCACCCATATTTTTACAAACCAGTTGGCACTAGGTGGGTAATGTGGTCAGTCTTTACTTCCCCAGGACAGCAATCCTGGTACCCATTTTAGGCTGGGTCGACCTGTGACGCCCAATACCATGATAAAAATCCACGCAGCCAGCAGTGGGTTTTGATCGAGGTACTTTGTAGTTCGAGTCAGACTTACAATGCCTCAGCCATAGACCCTGCATATATATATATATATATTAAAATTGTTAACCCCGCATATATATATATATTAAAATTGTTAATCAACCTTAAAAAATAACAACAATAAGCAACACAATAAAACTGCAGTTTACATGGGACAAATACAGCGAGTTAAGGAATTAGTCTGAGACTTGTAATGAAGCTGTTGATCATGTTAGAAGCCAGACTATAACTGATCATTTTGGGTCAAAAATACATATAGCACGCGCAGTTAACATACACCTGACACTGTGAATGACTCCACAAGCAGCAGACGACCAAAGTACAATTACCGGGCATTAAATGATCAGCTGCTGCAACAGCTGTCAGAAATATAATCAGTCAATGAATCCTCATTGCACTCCCAGGCACAAAAGGCAGAGACAGACTGTCGCTACTCACTTCGACCCTGAGCCATCCTCTCTGTCTCCAGTTTGATTCTCCACGCAGCTTTGAGTTGACTGCATGGTGTTGTTCCTACAGTCTGTCTGATAATATTATTTCTAACATTGTCTCTAGTGGTAATTGTACGTAGGTTAGCCTCTGATAATGTCCAAGTCTGACCCTGGTAGCACATTGTTGGTATGAATATGCTGTTTATATTCTGTTACGTGACACTCATACTTACATTTGTATGTCTTAATAATGGTGTCAGTTGGTATATAAGTGTATAAGTATATAATTTTAATGAACTGAAATTCTATGTTTTCCTAAGTGTATTGTTTTTTTATATTGTGCACCATTTTCCCCCTTAGAATCTGATGACTCTATTGAAAACATCAAAGTTATGTCAGTGGAAGAGATATTGCGACAAAAAGCTCTAGAGTCCATGATGAAGAAAAGAGGTGAGGAGACATTATTTGATCTAGGTCTTGATTTTGCAGTAATTAATCAGATTTAATTAGTTTCTGAAAAGGTATTTTTATACATGAACTCTCTGTTGTTCTGATGGTCTCTCTTTCCTTTTAATAGATAGGATGGTTGCTGTTAGCGGTACTGTTGGCCTAAGTCTCATAATTATTCCTGTTAAACTATGTTAGCCATACTTTTACCCCAGGCCCTTGATTATTAGAAATAAAAAAATACTGATTCAGAAGTATTGTTCTATTTGACTATCATTTACAATACAGTTTGTACTCTGTATGAAAGATGTTTTTCCACCTAATGTTTCCACATTCATCTTAATGTTTTGGCACTTTACTGTGTTGTTACTGGTACTTCACTGTGTTGTTTCTGGCACTTCACTGTGTTGTTTCTGGTACTTCACTGTGTTGTTACTGGCACTTCACTGTGTTGTTTCTGGCACTTCACTGTGTTGTTACTGGTACTTCACTGTGTTGTTACTGGCACTTCACTGTGCTGTTACTGGCACTTCACTGTGCTGTTACTGGCACTTCACTGTGCTGTTACTGGCACTTCACTGTGTTGTTACTGGCACTTCACTGTGCTGTTACTGGCACTTCACTGTGTTGTTACTGGCACTTCACTGTGTTGTTACTGGTATTTCACTGTGTTGTTACTGGCACTTCACTGTGTTGTTACTGGCACTTCACTGTGTGTTGTTACTGGCACTTCACTGTGTTGTTACTGGCATTTCACTGTGTGTTGTTACTGGCACTTCACTGTGTTGTTACTGGCATTTCACTGTGTTGTTACTGGCACTTCACTGTGTTGTTACTGGCATTTCACTGTGTTGTTGTTACTGGCACTTCACTGTGTTGTTACTGGCACTTCACTGTGTTGTTACTGGCACTTCACTGTGTTGTTACTGGCACTGCACTGTGTTGTTACTGGCACTGCACTGTGTTGTTACTGGCACTTCACTGCGTTGTTACTGGCACTTCACTGTGTTGTTACTGGCACTTCACTGTGTTGTTGTTACTGGCACTTCACTGTGTTGTTACTGGCACTTCACTGTGTTGTTACTGGCACTTCACTGTGTTGTTACTGGGAAGATACATATACTTTTTTTAATCAACTAATTTCCGGGGTCAACAGCTTACAATATGCTGAGAATGTAAATATGAGCATGTCACAGATAATTGGTAACAGCTGGTTTAAACACCATCTTTGTTGATTGTGGACCTGGAAAAGTCCTGGCAATAACATCCTCTATTAGACTGATTATGCAAGAAGATTTAGGAGCAGTTTAGTTTTAGCACAGCAAGAGGAGGAGCAAATTTATAGAGTGATCATGCTCCAGTTGTCAAGTTTAGATTAAAACTAAAGACTAGAAGGAAGACCCCACAGAACACCTTCCCTGTGTGGTTTCTGGGGCCCCATATTGGGGAAAACAAGAATTAGACCCACTGCCTTCCCAGCCAACATGTTGTAAGAGTGGACTAATTGAGGGCTTCCTTCCTTCCAAGTCGAAGTGCATCTGCGTGAGAGGCAGGGAATCGACGGTCTGCATACAAATAAAAGGAGATCTGAAAAACGGATGTGCACATATCACTCATGTTCTAGAAGAATACTAATGTCCAGTGGTGGTTGAACAACATGAGCTTTCTGCCAGAGTTTGCAGCTGGTGAATGCCAGGAAGAAGAAGGCCCCACAGAACATCAATCTAGGAACACTTAGAACAATTAGGGAACAGTACCGTGTCAGTGTGGGAACTAGAGGATAAATGAAAATCTGCAGTTGATGGGTGAAGGAAGCAAGAAAAATAACAAGGCCACACCCAGTTTTGAATTTGATAATGTTAGGAGAAAATTAATTTATTAGAATGTGTTAAAAGACCAAAACAGTAGTACATAAGTACTATAAGCAGTGAAAGATAAGAATTTCTTTAGGATGAATTTTAAGCCAGTAATGGCTAATCAGTGTGCAGTGCAGTGGTGCAGCGACTTCCAGACATCTACCAGGAGAAACTGCATTTCAAAGACATGTTTTAGTAAAGACACACAACTACAGCATGGGGGAAGTTGGAAATGCAAAGGAAACTTCTGCATTCTTCAGTATGCCAGGTAAACAACAGTGAACAAAGTTGGTGAAAAAACAAACAGAATCTGTGTGAACTTCTGGAGCATAAAAACAGTGGTGTACCTTAGTGCCTGATACCACTGCTGATGGACACAAACTCCCATCTGACATCATTTTAAAGTGTAAATCCATGCCTGAGGACAAGCTGCTGCCTGGAATATTGGTAAAAGGGCAAGAGAAATGATGGATGACTGGAGAATTGTTATATTGTTTATTAATAAATGTTCAAGTGACATGTAGGCCTAACATCTAAAAAAAAAAGCCCCACCCTGTTTTCCACCAAAGATTTTTGGTTAAAATATGCAGCCTGTACACACATACATGTTGTATTCTAAAATACATACAAATTTGTGAACAAATGCAAAGGGGCTTAAAAACATGTCCGAATTATATATGCACAGAGACTAAGGTAAGTCCTGGGGAAAGACTCACATTCCATGGACCAACAATTAAAATAACGAAAGATGACGTATAACAGTTCTAAGTGAAATAAATAGTGCAAAGTGATAAAAATATTAGATGGTTAGAATATTGGACCATAAATAGATTTGCAGGTACAGTAACTGACCATAAGTAGATTTGCATGTACAATAACTGACCATAAGTAGATTTGCAGGACAACATTGAAGGCCCACCAATACTGGCTGCAGAAGTTGAGGATGCATTATATTACATGAGGAAAGGAAAGACATAACCTGAACCAGTCATCACATTGGAAGACAGTGAAGGAAAGGCTTGGAATTAATTTAATTTGTTCATGACATTTATAGTAGTTTGTACATTCCTAATGAAATATTTTGGTCATATCAAGCCCCACGATTGATTGGAAACAAATTATAGCAGAAGGCTTCCTCCAGGAAGGAGGGGCAGGGGCTGACCGACACGAAGAAGGGCACAGAATATAAGTGACTCCTTGACTATGAAAGTACATGAGGCGAGAGAACTAGTGAGAGACCGAGTTTCTCTCAGGCAGACTGTGATGAGAGCGACATAATGCAAAGCACCTGCTACATGATGATGATGATATTCCTAATGACCTGTTAAATCCATATTTACTTGCTGTGTCAAAGAAACATTAGTCTTATGAGTCAAGTGACAGAGTTATACTGAGAATAATTATGAGCACAATAAGAAACAGGATTTGTTAAGAACAATGCAGAATTATATTAGAAGGAAAAGATACTACAAACAGTGCCATATACCCCCAGGACTCTGCTGGAAAGAGCTATAATGAGACTGCTAGAAACATTAAACATTGATGGAAAAGATCTACAAATAATACAGAATATGTATTTGTAGCAAGCAGCAGCTATAAGCATTAACCATTTGGGAACTTTTTAGTGCATAAAGAGGGGAGTGCAAAAAGGATGACCATCACCTGATTGGTTTTCATGATACAATGATTATACAATGAAATCTATCATGGCTATTTCAGGAATTGTGTTGGTGGCCAAAACATAAATAGCCTATGTTATGCTGATATCACCGCCTTAAAAGCGACAAGTCAGAAAGAACTATAGGAATTGATAGATACGGTGGTGGTAGAAAGTGATAAAATGGGCCTCACTTTGAATAAAGGGAAGACAGAAGTAATGGTGATTTCCTAGAAAAGAATAGTGCCTAAATGTATAATATAAGTCAAAGGTGTTATTTTAGAACAAGTACAGAAATGTAATTATTTAGGCCCATGGATAACATCCAGGGAAGATGTATCAGAAATAAAGAACAGAATAGGGCAGGCTAAAACTGAATTTTATAAAAGGAAAAACATTTGATGCAATAAATCTATGTCAGTGTGTCGCGAGCCCACGTGGGTAAATACACTGATATAGTGAGGGTGTGGGTTTGAACCTTAACAATGCCCACCCACGTGAGAAACTGGACTATTGTCTAAGCTATGTTGATCCTAGACATGTTACGAGAAGAAAGAACAGGAACATGTTGTGATCACTTGGCCTGAGAAGATCTGTGGAAAAGAGACAGTGTGAGACAATTCTTGACAGCCTTTTGACATGACATGGAGGGGTGTCAGTACACAAACGGATACATGGCTTTTCCAGATGGCTGATAGAGAAGCGTGATCACCCATGCCATTCGACAATGCACTCGATGGTTATTTTAGGTGAATCATCTGTCATAAAAATTATCAGTCTAGACTATGTTAATAAATGCCCCCCTCCCCCAAAATGTTATAAGAGCAAGGTTGCAAAAAAAAAGGGGGGGGGGAGGGGGGGGGGCGACCAACTAGACCTGTAGATTTATTATGGCCTGAGTTACAGAGGTTCCGCTTATAATGGGAAGTCAGAGGTCATAGTAAAAGGTCTTGTATGTCCATGAAGCAACGAAAATATGGTTGTCAAACTTGAATTCTTGTGCCACTTAAACTGTGTCAGTGCTCATGATTGTTGCCAGTTTGTAATTATATAGCATCAATCATATATATGTAGCATTCCTTTTTTTTTTCAGTTAGCGAAAACAAGACTGCACGAGGAGTTTCTTCATCTGCAGTTGTAAAAAAAACCACATCACTTCGAACTGCAGAGAAGAAAATATCCAATCTAGTTTCAGATTTAGACAGTAAAACACGAACAGTGCAGAAAGATATGCAAGGCCCAAAAAGGAGATCTAATACCTATGTGACTTCCTCTACAAAGTCAGTGAAACATTTTCCTGCTCAAGAGAACAGTTCCTCCTCTTCATCCTCTGAGGAAGAATTGTGTGATGAGAATAAAACTTCCAGACAGTCCTCATCAGTTAGCTCATCAGATTCATCATCATCATCATCATCTAGTAGTACTTCTGATACAGAGGAAGACTCAACAGATGATTCTGAAGAGCTTGGTAAGTGCAAAAAATATTGTTTTGTTATTGTAAGGGCAATGTCATCGGCAGAATCCAGATCATTGAGCTTTCTGTCAAGATTATTTGAATTCCATTTCTAGTGGTAGTTGTCTTCATAAGCCAGTTAATTTTGATTAGGTATCATAAAATGACAACCTTATCAACCTCCTGATTATATTTTTAAATGTATATGAACTCGGGTACCAGTTTGTTTTTAATGAATTACCAACTAAATATCAAAATATCTTCTTGAAATTTGGTGAGCAGGTGCTTGATAATAACAGTTCACTAATGTATTATTTGTTTTATTCTAAACCTGTTAAAATTATTATTAAATTAAAAAAATACTTTAAAACTGGAAACAAAAATTAGGTTTTAGTTTTAGAAAGATAATTTCTGAACTAATCTTACAAGGGTCCTAAATTGGGGAGTTGATGCATTTCAATATTTCATGTAGATCCCTTACCTCTAATTTGCTTATATTAGAAATACTTTTAAAGTTGTGAAGTTGTCAAACCAGGGCTGAAATGAGTAGCGTGTGCGCGTGTATGTGTGAGATATGTTCTATTTTGCATAAGACTTCTTCTTGGCGTACATCATGCTGAAAACTGCGACGGATAGTGCTGGTTGTTCGTCAGCTTCTGGACTTTGTCTTTTTTCCAGAACTTGGGTATTGTGTGTGCATATGTTTTACAGGTATGACTCATCTGCATGCAGCTGTTGGTTCCCTGCCTCTCAAGCAGGTGCACTCCACCTTTCAAGGAAGCTCCCAATTAGTCGACTCTTACCACATGCTTTTGGGTATGCAGTGGGTCTATTCTTGTTTTCCCTTCAATAGGGCCCCAGAACCCACACAGGAAACATAAGTTATGATCACCATATGTTTATGACCATATATGTATAATGTTGTGTTGTTATTTTATTATTTACATTTGGTATACTCAGATATTCGACGAGTTGTTGTGGATCAGGAGAGTGAAAAAGCAGCACGGAAAAAAGGTAAGAAAGTTCATTCCCAATGAATATAAACTTCTCTGCTTTATAGATTTGGTTAGATGTCATCATCTTCACAGTGAGGGCTGACTACCAGTGGTCTCCAGCAATGTCTTCTGGTTATACCAGTGGTCTCCAGCACTGTCTTCTGGTTATACCAGTGGTCTCCAGCAATGTGTTCTGGTTATACCAGTGCTCTCCAGCACTGTCTTCTGGTTATACCAGTGGTCTCCAGCAATGTGTTCTGGTTATACCAGTGGTCTCCAGCAATGTCTTCTGGTTATACCAGAGGTCTCCAGCACTGTCTTCTGGTTATACCAGTGCTCTCCAGCAATGTCTTCTGGTTATACCAGTGGTCTCCAGCACTGTCTTCTGGTTATACCAGTGGTCTCCAGCAATGTCTTCTGGTTATACCAGTGGTCTCCAGCACTGTCTTCTGGTTATACCAGTGCTCTCCAGCAATGTCTTCTGGTTATACCAGTGGTCTCCAACACTGTCTTCTGGTTATACAAGTGCTCTCCAGCAATGTCTTCTGGTTATACCAGTGCTCTCCAGCACTGTCTTTTGGTTATACCAGTGCTCTCCAGCAATGTCTTCTGGTTATACCAGTGGTCTCCAGCAATGTCTTCTGGTTATACCAGTGGTCTCCAGCAATGTGTTCTGGTTATACCAGTGCTCTCCAGCAATGTCTTCTGGTTATACAAGTGCTCTCCAGCAATGTCTTCTGGTTATACCAGTGCTCTCCAGCAATGTCTTCTGGTTATACCAGTGGTCTCCAGCACTGTCTTCTGGTTATACCAGTGGTCTCCAACACTGTCTTCTGGTTATACCAGTGCTCCCCAACCTTTTTTTTTTTCAGGTGGCGCCCCCCTTGAGTATATGGCAAGGACTCCCTGCCCCACTTGAGTATATGGCAAGGACTCCCTGCCCCACTTGAGTATATGGCAAGGTCTCCCTGCCCCACTTGAGTATATGGCAAGGACTCCCTGCCCCACTTGAGTATATGGCAAGGTCTCCCTGCCCCACTTGAGTATATGGCAAGGACTCCCTGCCCCACTTGAGAATATGGCAAGACCTCCCCTGTCCCACTTGAGTATATGGCAAGACCTCCCCTGCCCCACTTAAGTATATGGCAAGGACTCCCTGCCCCATTTGAGTATATGGCAAGACCTCCCCTGCCCCACTTGAGTATATGTCAAGGACTCCCCTGCCCCACTTGAGTATATGGCAAGACCTCCCCCCCCCCCTGCACCACTTGAGTATATGGCAAGAACCCCCCCCCCCCCCCCCCCACCCCCACCCCTTTGCACCACTTGAGTATATGGCAAGACTAGGTTTTAGTTTTAGAAAGATAATTTCTGAACTAATCTTACAGGAGTCCTACATTTGAGTATTTGGCAAGACCTCCCCTGCCCCACTTGAGTATATGGCAAGACCTCCCCTGCCCCACTTGAGTATATGGCAAGGACTCCCCTGCCCCACTTGAGTGTATGACAAGACCCCCCCCCCCTCCCCCTGCCCCACTTAAGTATATGGCAAGACCCCCCTTGCACCACTTGAGTATATGGCAAGACACCCCACCCCCTTGCACCACTTGAGTATATAGCAAGACACCCCCCCCCCCCCTGCACCACTTGAGTATATGGCAAGACCCCCCCACCCCCCTTTCTCCCTGCCCCACTTGAGTATATGGCAAGATATCTCCTTCCCCCCCCCCCCCCCCCCCCCCCCCCTTGTCCTAAGAACATCAGAGTGAGAGAAAGACGTATAGAGGGAGCATACGTCTAACAGGAAAAGATTATAGGTTTTACCGGGAAAAAGCCTGATGAATCCAGAAATGGTGAGGGCATGGTTAGTCTGAAAGGAGATGAGTGACAATCGGTTGGAAAATACTATCTAAAGATTTAGAAAGATGCACTGTGGGACAGGAGCACGCAGATACAGTGGGACGTCCAGGGTTGTTGGGCTTATGGATCTTGGGCAGCAAGTACATACACAGTTTGTCTAGTTGGCTGTCAGAAACAGGTACATTATTGGCCTGCTTGGGAAATAAATTATTGTAATGTGTCATTGACTTTCTTGTTGTTGAAGACTGGAGTTGTCACTACACTTATAATTATTTACTGTACAACTATCTTGATTACAATCTCCATCTTTCATTATTATCTCATAGTTCACATTTATCTACTGTGCAACCTTCTTTCATTACACTCTCCTAGTTCACATTTATCTACTGTGCCACCTTCTTTCATTACTCTCTCCTATTTCACATTTATCTACTGTGCAACCATCTTTCATTACTCTCCTCTAGTTAACATTTATCTACTGTGCAACCTTCTTTCATTACACTCTCCTAGTTCACATTTATTTACTGTGCAACCATCTTTCATTACTCTCTCCTAGTTCACATTTATCTACTGTGCAACCATCTTTCATTACTCTCTCCTAGTTGACATTTATCTACTGTGCCACCATCTTTCATTACTCTCTCCTAGTTCACATTTATCTACTGTGCAACCATCTTTCATTACTCTCTCCTAGTTCACATTTATCTGCTGTGCAACCATCTTTCATTACACTCTCCTAGTTCACATTTATCTACTGTGCAACCTTCTTTTATTACACTCTCCTAGTTCACATTTATCTACTGTGCAACCATCTTTCATTACACTCTCCTAGTTCACATTTATCTACTGTGCAACCATCTTTCATTACACTCTCCTAGTTCACATTTATCTACTGTGCCACCATCTTTCATTACACTCTCCTAGTTCATACTTTTTTATTGAACAGCTATCTTCATGACATTCTCCATCTTTCATTACTCTCTGTTATCTTAGTTCATAATTATTTACTGCACAACCATCTTTATTACATTCTCCATCTTTCATCATACTCCTTAGTTCATATTTATTCTTTACAACTATTTTCATTACACTCTTCATCTTTCATTACACTCCCTAGTTTGTAATTATTAACTGCACAACCATCTTCATTACATTCTCCATCTTTCATCATACTCCTTAGTTCATATTTATTCTTTACAACCATTTTCATTACACTCTCCATCTTTCATTACACACTCCCTAGTTTGTAATTATTTACTGCACAACCATTTTCTTTACACTCTTCATCTTTTATTTCACTATCTAGTTTGTAATTATTTACTGCACAACCATTTTCTTTACACTCTTCATCTTTTATTTCACTATCTAGTTCGTAATTATTTACTGCACAACCATTTTCATTACACTCTCCATCATTTATTACAATCCCTAGTTCATAATTATTTACTGCACAACCATCTTCATTACACTCTCCATCATTCATTACAATCCCTAGTTTGTAATTATTAACTGCACAACCATTTTCATTACACTCTCCATCATTTATTACAATCCCTAGTTTGTAATTATTTACTGCACAGCCATCTTCATTACACTCTCCATCATTCATTACAATCCCTTAGTTCATAAATATCTGGTGTTCAACCACGCAAAAGCCACCTAACATGATAATTTCTAATTTCTTGCACTTCTGCAAGATATTACCAAGGTCATTATAAATTGCATCTACAATGACTTAAATTGTTCTGCTGTTTACTTCTTCTTATGGATCAAACATTTGATACATTATATTTATAGTATGGAAGACTTGCCCAACATATCCAAGAAGGGTATTAATGTTGAAAGAAGAGAAAGTTGAAATACTTAGGTTTGACATTTGATCGCAGTCTGTCCTACAGATATCACGTTAGAACAATGAGGTATATGTTTGGGCTGACATCAATAATGTTTAGACTGTCACTGGCGCAAGCCAAGGCCTATATATGAGTTACCAATGACAAAAGGCATGATAGTAATTCGAATGATTCAAGAAAAGACCGATTGAAAAGAGGAAAGTCATGGATATCACTAGCTGAAGATACCATCGAGATGGCGGCAAATACACAGGGGGCAGGAATGGACCGGAGAATGAAGAGAGTGGTGTAACGGTATGGCAGAACAAAACAGAGCTTTTTTTTATCTACAAATTCAAGCATGAGGATGGAAGTGGAGGCAATCACGGCAGCTCTGAAGTTGATAGCAGAAAACAAAGTTACCAGAGGAATTACTGTGTCTGATTCTTAGTCAGCATTGCGGAAGGTTAAACATGGACTAATGTGTTATGAGTGGATACCATGCATCAGTACGCCAACATTGCAGGGAATCACGTGGATTTACTGTCCGGGAGATACAAGAGTGCCAGGGAATGAAAGAGTAAATTTTGTAGCTACAAAAGCGAAAGCTACGGGAACACTCATATTGGACAAAAGAGATATTCTGAAGACCATATATGATCGACTTTTGGCAGAAGACACGATATTAGATGAAATAACATGTGTGAACGAGGAATTGAGTGTGGATCAGGCAAGAAGGGATGGATGAGAGGAAGAGATCGGTGTGTGTATAATCAGTATGCTAGGGGAGATGGAGCATCTATGGGTATGTCTGGTGTGCTATGATATTGATTCTTAAGTCAGTAAATACTGAATTTATAGCATTGCAGAACTTGTGCACTGGGTCACATGTTGATGTTGCTGGCTCAGTTGGTGCACAAGATGATCCCTACTTGGTGAGGCTGCTTCCATGAAGCATCCATATGCACTGATTGTCTGAGACACCAAAGCACAAATACATAAGAGCTGAGGGCTACTCTAAATCATGAATCTTTTGTCAAGCTCAAGAGAAACCCTGAATGTTTGGCCTAATGAATGTGTGTATACTTTGTCATAATGTTAGTGGCATTTATTTATTTGTAAGACAGTTTGATGCTTTTCACTGATACAGACAGGAATATATCATATTCTTTTGTGTAAAATGAAGTAAAGATTGATTATCTCTTGAGACATACAAAGAATATAATCACTACAGTGAAGGTATGCTGAATATTTTCATATCTTTGTCATCAGCTAAGGAAAGCTTGATGAAAAAACACCAGCTGAATGCTCTTAATACTCCTGAGATTGTCAAGAAAAGAAGAGTCATCCAGCCTCTGGCCAAGCAAGCTCAAGCAAGTACAGCTAAGAAGACCCAGATTGTGGATCCCCGTGTCAAGAAGCGATCTGTAAATATAGACTATGATTCTGATGACTTTGTTTGTTCAAGAGTTCAACAACCGTTAAAGCTCCATGTTCGAGATCGATTAGGCAAGTCTACATCTTCACATAAAGCTAGTTCTGATGCTCGCTTACTTTCTAGAGCCGAGAAATGTGGTTCAGCACCTGTAGCTATGAATAAAGTGAACCCTTTAAGAATTCCCATTGTGTCCAGCTCTGAGGAGGATGGCAGTCCTCTAACAGAGGTGAAAGTCAAGTCTCTGGAAGAAATTAGAATGGAAAAGATGAAAGTCATGGCTCAGAAGACTCAACAGAAATTCTCAACTCAGGAAGATGATACAGGTTCGTCTTTTTATTTCATTGTAAGCAATGCCTAAGCTCATTGTTATACTTTGTTTTAATGTTGTGAACCATATTGTGTCAGTTTGTCATGATCATTTCAGTTTATCATGATCATCTCAGTTTATCATTATTATTTGAGCATTGTCCATTGTGTGTGTTTTTAGCAGTTGGTTTATGTCACCATATTTCTCTAATTAGTTTTAAAATTAGTTAAGGAGAGCATTTAGATATTTTCAACCACCAGTTGCAGCATGAAGTTCATTAAACTCCAAAACATTGACCTGTTAGTAGCAGTGAGAGATTTCAGTGCAAAAGTGGGATAGCAAACATATGGCAAAGATCATCTTTGTGACCCTGAAAATGTACAAGGATTACTCTGTTATTATATTAGTATTAGCAATGCTTCATTTGTGTGTGTGTGTGGGGGGGGGGGGGGGGTAGAAAAAAAGAGGGGGGTAAAGTAACTCACAGTAGAATTCTAGGGATGCTAGTGAAATGTTATATAATGGGTTTGTATTTATGAAACCATCCCAGCTGAATAGACATTAAAATATCCAATACCTCACTAAAGCTGGTGTCAGTTCTAAGTGGAGATATTAACATTTTCATGGTGGATAGATCAGTTATATTGTCATCTGACAAAATGTGGATTCCAATTTTTGTCTCAGTAAATTAAATGTAGGGTTGAAATGACTAAATGTTTGCATTTTATGGCAATAACTATTTAAGTTTTCTAATAAATCTCTTAGCAATCGGGGCATTGAGGCCTAACTATGTGTATTGCTCAAAAACATGTGATGCAATCATCATCATCATCATCATCATCATAAAGAACTTCTGCCGTTAAGCGTTGTAGGGAGGAATAATTTGCGATCCAGTGCAGGTTGGCTGCCACTGACTATTGTCATGCCGTGAAGGCCTAGTCTCTTTAATGTTGTCAATCCATGTTTACCGCGGCCGTCCTCTTGCTCTTGTAGCTGATTTTCTGAGATGTAGTGCTTGTGATGGTATTTGATCTTGCTGCATTCTAACGAGATGGCCAAACCACTTGATTTGCTATTTCTCGATGAATCTAGTACAAGGTGTTGTTCGCACAATTTGCCTGATAGTTTCATTTTTCACTCGATCTCGCATGGTTAGGTTGGCTGCTTTTCTCAGGCACCTCATCTCGCAAGTGGTGATTTTGCATATATGTTCTTTAGATAGTGTCCGTATTTGGCACTGTTAGCTCAATGTTGTAATGAATATGCTATTAATAATCTGTCTCTTTGCACTCATAGTTATGCTTGGATGTCCTAGTTATGGTGACAATTGGTATATAAGTGCACTTGCTTTCTGGCTTCTGGTTCCTATTTCTCTGTTAATTCTACCATCTTCTGTAATCATACTTCCTAGATATTTAAACTCCCTAACTTGATTCAGGGCAGAACCATTCAGCTGTATGTGTGGTGTGCCAGTGGTTCTACTAACCTGCATTGTTTCGGTTTTGTTTACATTGATCTTCATGTTGTATTTACTACATGCTGAGTTTAACCTGTTGAAAAATGCGATGTGGGCCTAAATAACATAAAAATAGCTACCAGGTCACTGTTTTTATTTTTTAAATCTGCAAGAGCAAAATTTTTCAGTAGTCTATTACTATGTCGAGGTTAAGAGAAATAAAAATACAGCTTTAGTACTGCCATCACTTTGATATGCCAGGGCACACAGGCGTGCAAGGAACTGAGCAAGCTGATAGGCTTGCAGGTAAAGCTGCTGTGGAGGGCGGACGGGCCACAGACCAGGCTGATTTACTGAATGCTGTACAAGAAATAAGATGTTTGCAAGAACCAAGTGATGACAGCCATGACTAGACTGCAAGAACTGCACGTCCGTCAGCCAAATACACTGCAGGATTTACTGAGGAGGGGATCGGGGCACTTGGGGCTGAATGATTTGATGTGCAATAAGGATAATCTGTCGACCGACTAACTAACCAACTAACTGACTGTCGCACTTGACACTGCAATGAATCTATGCCTGATTGCCAATTTCATCTGATGTGGTTGGATATGTCCAACTGGATATGTTTCAGAACTAAATCTGTCATGGAGTGAGTGCATATAGTGCCATTACTGAAAATGTTTGGCATGTCTGAAAGAAAATCTTTCTGTTTGATTTTGTTTTGGTCAGCACCCATCTTCACTTCATTGCAACTTCTCAAAATGAACATTATTTTCATGTTTGAAAGCAAGAAAACATTCAAATTAACTTTGAGAAAGGTTGTCTACTTACCTGGTAGGGCAGATGTTAATGCTTATTATTCGGTCATCTTTTTTAAATTTTTAAAAAAAATCAGACAATGTTTAATTTAAAAAAATGCAAATAGTGCAAAAACCTGCCAATTGCTGCCTTTTTTATACCACTTTTGCTGTGTACCCAGGGGGGTCTTTGAGCCTGAGGATTTATGACTGCATGGCCAGTGCTGTTGCCACAACTGTGCAGGTAATGATTTTATTTTGCTCCTGACAGAAAAAAATCCCCAGCCATACTGAGGATTCAAACCTGGGTCTCCCACTTGGGAGTCCAGCATTTTAACTGTTCGGCCAGCCACTCATTGGGTGTGGAGCGGTTGGCCAAATGTGAGGAGCAGCTCCCTGAATATTTAAAACAATGAGCTGTCATGCAGGAAACCCAGGTTTAAATATGCGGCAAGATTGTGGATTTTTTCTGTTGGGGTAAAAAATAAAATCCTAACCTGCACAGTCCGTGGTGACAGCACTAGTCATATGGCCCTAAATCTTCAGGCTCAGATTAAACCCCCCCCCCCCCCCACCTGTAAAATATAGGTCTAGCCCTATATGCCCAATATGTCTAAAGGTGTGGAAAAGGGTCATTTACTTAAATTTTATATTGTAGAAGCAGTCCATGAACTACTGACAGGGTTGCCCTGCAGTATATGAGCACATGTAACCACTAAACTTGCACTAGCACTAAACTGTGGTATGAACTGCTGACAAGGTTGCCCTGCAGTATATGAGCACATGTGGCCACTAAACTTCCACTAGCACTAAGCTGTGGTATGAACTACTGACAGGGTTGCCCTGCAGTATATGAGCACATGTAACCACTAAACTTGCACTAGCACTAAGCTGTGGTATGAACTACTGACAGGGTTGCCCTGCTGTATATGAGCACATGTAACCACTAAACTTCCACTAGCACTAAGCTGTGGTATGAACTACTGACAGGGTTGCCCTGCAGTATATGAGCACATGTAACCACTAAACTTCCACTAGCACTAAGCTGTGGTATGAACTACTTACAGGGTTACCCTGCTGTATATGAGCACATGTAACCACTAAACTTCCACTAGCACTAACTGGTATGAACTACTGACAGGGTTGCCCTGCTGTATATGAGCACATGTAACCACTAAACTTGCACTAGCACTAAGCTGTGGTATGAACTACTGACAGGGTTGCCCTGCAGTATATGAGCACATGTAACCACTAAACTTCCACTAGCACTAAGCTGTGGTATGAACTACTGACAGGGTTGCCCTGCAGTATATGAGCACATGTAACCACTAAACTTCCACTAGCACTAAGCTGTGGTATGAACTACTGACAGGGTTGCCCTGCTGTATATGAGCACATGTAACCACTAAACTTCCACTAGCACTAAGCTGTGGTATGAACTACTTACAGGGTTACCCTGCTGTATATGAGCACATGTAACCACTAAACTTCCACTAGCACTAAGCTGTGGTATGAACTACTGACAGGGTTGCCCTGCAGTATATGAGCACATGTAACCACTAAACTTCCACTAGCACTAAGCTGTGGTATGAACTACTGACAGGGTTGCCCTGCAGTATATGAGCACATGTAACCACTAAACTTCCACTAGCACTAAGCTGTGATATGAACTACTGACAGGGTTGCCCTGCAGTATATGAGCACATGTAACCACTAAACTTCCACTAGCACTAACTGGTATGAACTACTGACAGGGTTGCCCTGCAGTATATGAGCACAAACTTCCACTAGCACTAAGCTGTGGTATGAACTGACCCACAGTTTTGTCCCCAGCATTTGCTGTTCTCTGATCATTGTTTGGTAGCCATGTTCAGTAGGCTGGCTCAATCCCAGAGCTGTACTTGTCTGGCAAGAGAATGAACCAGCAGCGTCTGCTCAGGATTGAACCCATTACCGCCTAGACAGGCAAGAACACTTACCACTCTGCCACTGTGACAAATTTTATAATTTAAAAATGGGTTTCCTTAATTTTAATCCAGTTATCCAAACACCAGCATCCTTCAAAAATAGATTTGGAACAGCTCCAGAAGAAATGCAGAGACAAGAACGAGAAGTTGTACATTCTGAATCCCGACAGGTTGTGCTACTCAATGGTAAGCAATACATTTCTTTTGCCTTTTAACAAAATTATAACATAGGCCCTTAACAACTTGCTCCAAGCCAGCTTTAATTTTGTGCTGGCTTTTCATGTCCTCATTTGTCATATTGATCAGTTCTTCTTCATGCATTTTTGTTTTTAACTGGGGGTTTCACAGAAAGAACTTTCCAGTTTTACTGTAGTCAGGTTTTATAGTGTGATTCCTATCCATTGACTTCCTCCATTCCTAGCTTGTTGGAATTTATTAGTTTACTTCCTAAGTTTGACTTTCGTGTGGTGATTCTTGTATACCATTTTAGTCCCATTCTGTGCACATACAGAAGAAGGGGTGAATGGAGGAACATCTAGCTACAGCGTTACGTGCGGACGGCAACACAGGCGGACAGTTTCTTATCAGCTGTCCATACTCCTGGCAGAGCACTTATGGTTTATAACCGTGTGCAATGACGCTGGTTCACATCTCCCTACTTTACTTTACAAGTGTATGATTGTTGCATCTTTGAAATCTTTGATTGATGATGATGTTAGCTGGATGAAAGTGACTTGCGCAAGGACTTGGATTTAAGTAAGGAAGAGTTGTGCAATTTGTCGACCTCACTCTCTCGCCTGTGTCTATCTTGATCCAATGGCAGGACAATGTCGAGACGATTGGAAATGGAACTGGGTGCAGTGGATGACCACAGAGTCCTAAGTGCCCTGCCTTACTCAAAATCTCCACAGAGTCTGCTGGTAATCGCCTTATTTCAGTTAAACCAATAAGAGGTTTCATCCGCCGAGTCCAGTCTTTGCATGCTGGGTAAGCATATCCCAATCTCCGAGTGGTTTAGAACCAGGTCGGCTACCCTCTACTGGTTTAGACAGCCTGTCAAGGCTGTTGCCCGAGGGTGGCCGCTGTCACATGCTGACAGCTGCTGGAAGCCACAGGAGAGAGCTGAGTGCCAGACCTAGCCCAGTGGTGATGGTGAACTGCCCTAAAAAGGACGTGACGGCCATCTTGCCAAAGATAAAGATAGTATCTTCAAAGTACCTGATACCGTAGTCCTTGGGAAAGCAGCTATGCCCAACATCCACACTCTACTGATGCAGTATCAAATTTGTTGGGCTGGTCATGAGGCACACATGCCAGATCACTGGCTCCCACAAAAACTCTCCTATGTGAGCTGCAAAATGGGAAACGTTTCCAAGATGTTTAAAGAAACACTTTAAGGACACCTTGAAGTCTTCACTCAAAGTATTTGGGATGAATGACACCAATTGGGAGGCTGCCTCTCAAGACTGAAATGCATGGCGCGCAACTCTACACAAGGGCGCGGCTACATGTGAAGCAAACAGAACAGCAAGATTTATTAAAAAAATGGACAGAAAGGCGACTGCAGGAGATCCCCTCCCATACACTCATTCCCTGTCCTCACTGTCCAAGAACTTTTCGGGCCAGCAGTGGCCTCATCAGTCATCTTTGTACTCATACTTGATTATAAAAAAAAGTGGTTATCATCATCTTGACGGACAACACACACACTAGTATATGACGCCCCAGACCCGCCATTCCACATACTGTTGATGGCTGGGTCAAATTGTCTTGCTCACGCCAGAAATACACATGTTCGCCGGCATGCAGTAAAGGTAACCCAACTCATAACGTGCACATTTTCCAAATGATTCTTACTATGATTCTTACTCTTTAAAAGAAACTCCAATAATTATTTATCAACTTTAACCAGTTTTCTTGAAATTTTATAATAAAATGTAGACTAATGTAAAACTGGAAAAATATTTCAGGGCAAAAAATATATAGTTCACCGACCACACTTTTGTGGTAAACAAAGCAACAGGATCACAGAGAAGGCATCTAAACACACTTAAATGTACGTGACAGTGTGTTTGATTGAATGTACACGTTTCACTTGGGTTAATTAAATAATACAATTAAAAAGTCCAACTGCTTCATGTAAACTTGAAAATAGGTTATCACCTAACCCCAGTGGTATAGCGAATGCTGTGCTCACTGTATTGACAGTATACATTGTTTCACATTTATGACTACAGATGAATGACAAGCATTATTCTGCTGCTGTTAGGGGAGGATCTCGTATGCATTGTTTAACTCTTTGATTCCCAAGGAACGCATCATACGTTCATAGGTTCCTACCTAGAAGCCCAATGAACGCATGATGCACAGATTTTACGTCTCTTTTTACTACCCTTTGGGTCTCTGATGCTAAACACCCTGGGACTCGAAGAGTTAATAGAAAGCAAAAGAAAGAAAACTAACTACCAGTCAGTCTGAACAGCTATATATAAGTCTGACAGTTTAGAGAATAGTTACTAGATGACTAAATTGGTTTGTAAGAAAATATTGGTGCCAGAGGAAAAATAATTGATAATAATGTTGTAGCACAGAAGGCCAAGTGATATGATTGACAATGACTTCTGGTTCCGACATTGATAGGGAATGGATGATGGTTGAGAACTTGGCTTATGTTGACCGCTCTCGTCGCCGTTTTTCCTCCAGTTTCCATGTTGCAAGATTGTGGAATCCATTTGCAGCCGGAGCTACTGAGTTTAGTGCTCCAGGCAGCACTGTGAGCTGTGATTATTGATTATTGACTGAATTCCAGATTCGTACATAATGGCTATGATGGGTGATGTAATTTTCTAAGGTTGTGTTTCTGGGACAAGGTGTGTGCTATAGCTGCTATTTATTTGCTGGCCGTGGCTGCAACTTGGCCGAGGACATGTGGAGAATGATCATAAATAGTTTTAATCTGCTGGCCTAGCTATTAGTCAAATGAAGTTGATTTTCAGTGATGACGCCTGGTCTCGCAGTGTGTTTTAGTACGCATGCACCTTATGGTTTGCCAGATCAAATCGTGTGTGTTTTGCTGACTGAGGACACTTTGTATTGCTATGGCATTCACTTGAAGTATCCAGCGTATCTGACTCAGTTTGTGACTGGAATCACTGGCATAGGCGGTTGAGCAATTATGGGCCAAGCTCATTTGCTGTGATGCCGGAACCGTAACAACTAACTAACCAACCAAGTGACGTGCTGGTTACAGATAAATGTAGATGATGGATGGTGGTGGTGGTGCTGCTGCTGCTATCTTTCTATCAGAAAACATGTCACGAGGTTGGTAACCTTTGTGAAAACCATCTTGCAGTCCAAATCTGTCTATCTGCCCTACAGCTTTGTCTTCACTGAGGTTGGAACAGGCCAGATTGTATCTTTGTTGGCAGTGTTGGAGCACATGCTGCAAGGACACGTCTGCCTGTTTCCTGCACCAACAACTTTCAACAAATGTTGACAAAGTCTCTTGTGCCTTGTCCTTAGTCTGAATCTAACACACTTTCACTCTCTAAAAAGGCAATGAAGTGAGTCTTGAGGAAACAGTTTGGTGTGTGTATCCAGCCACCTTTCTCGGATACTAGATTGTATTAATGTCTTAGTCTCTTGGTAGGTTAAGTCACTGTTCCATTGTACCATATCACTGCCGCATCTGGCAATAAATGTAGATATCTTTCCAGTTTTACTTAGTGATAAATATTGAATTTTTTTTTTTTTAGAGGGGCCATAATTGACTGCAGCTAAAATGCCTCTTCCATTTGGAAAAAAAAGCACTTAATTTTATCAGTGCAATAAAATGCATTTATGACACTTTCACTTCTGGCTAATTTGAATCACATCCTTTACACATCTTTTAATGTAAAGGATATATTAGCAGACAAAGGCTAACTATTTTCTGTGAAACTAGCCTAATGTTGATTGTGTGTAATGGTAAATGTCTGCTTTCAAACTAACTATTTTCTGTGAAAACTACCCTAATGTTGATTGTGTGTAATGGTAAATGTCTGCTTTCAAATTCAGGTGCTAAAGGTGATGACTCCAGAGAGGTCAAACCATTAGATGAGAAACAGAAAACAAAGAAAAGACCCTGGAGAACTGTGAGGTCACACACAAATCAGTCTGCTCTTGATGCCATAGCAGTTTCAAGTCCATCATCAGACAGAGGTGACAACAGTGTCCAATTAGGTTAGAATGTGTTTTTTTTTTTTTACAGTCATAGATTTTAACTGAGAAAAAATAATTGAGATTATGTCTGTCAACATTTTCAAGTGTTGTTTATCCTAAGTTTCTTTAAAAATGTAAGATAGAATACTCATATTTGCTAAACAGTAGAACAGTAGACAGAAGAGACAACTTTTTGCAGATTATGGTCTCTTATTGGTATGATGGAATAATTTCAATTGCATCTCCTTGTAGTTGGGGATTGGGGGAGGGACAAAGCTCTGGGACCAAGTATCTGTCGTATGCTAAACACGCTTTGCTATTCTTCTTCTTCTTCTTCTTCTTCACGTTCACCAGCTGTACACTCTTGTGGAAAGTTCTGGTTGTTCGTCCACTTCTGGACTGCAGTCCTCCAAAACCTGAGTGTTGGGTGTGCATCAGTTTTACAGATCTGATTAACTTGTTGGTTCCATGCCTCTCAGGCAGATGCACTCCGACTTCAAAGGAAGCTCCCAATTACTTACTGTACATCACAAGGGAGTGGTCACTGTACATCACAAAGGGGTGGTCACTGTACATCACAAAGGGGTGGTCACTGTACATCACAATGGGGTGGTCACTGTACATCACAAGGGGGTGGTCACTGTACATCACAAGGGGGTGGTCACTGTACATCACAAGGGGGTGGTCACTGTACATCACAAGGGGGTGGTCATTGTACATCACAAAGGGGCGGTCACTGTACATCACAAGGGGGCGGTCACTGTACATCACAAGGGGGCGGTCACTGTACATCACAAGGGGGCGGTCACTGTACATCACAAGGGGGCGGTCACTGTACATCACAAGGGGGTGGTCACTGTACATCACAAAGGGGTGGTCACTGTACATCACAAAGGGGTGGTCATTGTACATCACAAGGTGTATCTGCGCGGTCGGGTGTGAGTCACCCCTAGCAGGCACCTGGGAAATAGTTTACTCGGGTGTTTGTCCATGTCTGGAAAGACTTGTCGAGGTGAATATTTGGGAAGCAGTAGAAGACTTGACAGTGTGTCCTCGATAACCAATTCATATTCGTTATAATCTGTCAGGGATTGAGGAGGGTGGTGAGGCAGGCTGTGGAGTGGTTTTAAGAGGTCATCCACTAGGAGTTCTGGGGTCTGTTCAGTTGGATTCCCAGGGTGCTCAGCGTACTCCATAAAGGGGTTATTGGTTTGTTATGACAGTAGTAGCTGTTTCATCCTCTTCAGGGCGTTAGTAGACATTGTTTTATACCAGTTTGTATTTGTCCACAGTAAAGACTGAGGCACTATGAAGGATCATACTTAGTGTGGTGTATTGTTACTGTACTCATAGACATTACTGGTTTTGGACATGTGTTAGCTTGTCACAAGTGTGTGGCGCATAGTGGTGCTTTTAACTCCAATTATAATCACCATCTGTCACAACTATAGGAGAGCCCTAGGAAGGGTATGGTTCCTATACAGGAGATATCTTCAGTCTATATATGGCTCACTAGAAGTATGGTAACTTCATTGTCTACTAGGGTAGAGAGACCGAGATATTACTCCTGGGACAGAGGACAAGAAGATAAGTCTACCCCGTTCCGATGGTGTGGTGCTAAGGCAAGCTAGTTCTCTTGGTGGTAACTCCTCTGCTACTGTTAAAGAAAGTTCCCAGAGAGAAAGCACAAAATGCCCCCTTCTCGCTCACTCAACTATCACTCACGTACAGCAACAAAGACAGACGAGAATAGCAGTGAATGAAGAATCATTTTGTAGCTTTAATTCTACTGACAACTGAGTGGCTAAAAATTGACGGTGGTTTGGTGTCCTTTAAACCACAGTGGGTATCATCATTAGGGAATGAGAAATGTCTACTTTATCCAGTTCCTGGTAATCTGGTAATCTGGTAATCCTAGTTTCAGCTTCATAGCAAACGGGTCACCCCACACATGCTCCGCTCCTGTGCCAACGAAAAACAAACGCAGCTCACAGTGTCACGCCATGCACTCAACTCAGAAGCTGGGCGACGAAACTACATCCTTCCAGTCTACAAATGGAGCAAAAATGCAACGGCCACCGTCTGGAAAAATATTTGCCACGGCTTTAAAAAAAAAAAAAAAAAACAGGTGGCCGTACCTAGCGTCCATTTTGACCGGAAGAATTATATGAGGGTTAATAAACGGTCACCCCAGCAGTACCCTCATTATTAGCTGGGGAAGGGACTTAGGACATTACATCCACCAGCAGGCGTCGCCCCTACAACGACCTGCCTGCCCTCGTTAACGACTGTTCACCCAACAGCCATGCAGTTCTTTGGCACGAAGGAGACACCTTGAACTTGGGTTTCGTACTGCCGACTCCCTACTAAGATGTTATTTTATGTTCTGTTATCACAATTAATGTCACTGCACATTGGGCATACCCATGCGTGCTCAGTTCTCTGAAGCAGCAGCCACTCTAAAGTACTTCTACTAATTGCCCCCATGATGGTTCCTATACAGGAGATATCTTCAGTCTATATATGGCTCACTAGAAGTATGGTAACTTCATTGTCTACTAGGGTAGAGAGACCGAGATATTACTCCTGGGACAGAGGACAAGAAGATAAGTCTACCCCGTTCCGATGGTGTGGTGCTAAGGCAAGCTAGTTCTCTTGGTGGTAACTCCTCTGCTACTGTTAAAGAAAGTTCCCAGAGAGCTTCCCCGCACGAGTACAGCTCACCCAGGGAGATTCCTAAAGGTTTGACGAGGTGCGAAAACAGGAACACTTGGCTTTTGTAGCTGTGATTTCTTGGGATATCCTCGGCTGTAGTCGATGATCCACTGCTGATGTTCAGGGTGTAACCCAACAGTTACAGTCCACTGAATGTTCTCAAACGTTCACTTACGACACGTGGTCGTTAAAAATACGACACGTGGTCGGTTAAAAATATTGGAATCAAGTTCCTTAAATAGTCTCTTTGTGCCGGTTAAATGGCGACAAGACAATGTGTACAATTGGTGTAATTATCGATGGCTGGCGTTGGTAGTGTGAAAAATGCCACAGGGCCCTCAGCTCTGTCAAGAATCACTACAGTAATCCAGAACGAATTAATATAAAACTACACTCGCTAGTATGAATACTGAACTTGAAACTGACTGAACTTTACTCAACTGCCTCTGAGAATGAAATGACCGAAAAGATGGCGTTTTTCGTCCCACATAGACGACACGTGACCACAGCCATGCGCATGCGCCAAAGAGGGGGCATCATCCGTCCCGTTCTATCATTGGTCAGACAGGGCGCTGGGATTGCTCGCCAAAATGGCAGTCCAGGATTTGAACGTAAAATATTCCTATCTGGTTTTTAGCGGAAAGTGATAGGGATAAGCCGGTTGCTAGGCGACGCGAAAATATCATCGAAGTTGGCGTAAGCAACACTCATGTTTCTACAGGGGTAGAATCACGTCCTCTAACTTCTATTATATATATCTTACTTCTGCCCTAAACTATCCTAAACTATACAGGTAACTAGGGGAGTGTCAGTGGTCATTGCCAGTACTGTCACACCATCAACATGTGCCATGCCTAGGAAATTGGGCATCATGGTTGGAGAATAGAGGGAATCCAGTGTATAGGTTGAGGACAGACATTTATAGGCATTTATTATTACAAACCCCCTAGACACTTGGCAAGTGTGCAGTATCTCCACCAGATTGCATACATCAGTATCCACTTGGCATAAAGCCTGTGGTAGTATGGTATCAGACACAAAGTCAAACTTGAAGTGCTTCCTTGTAGAAACTACTCAAATGACTCACACTGCTGACTAAACCTGGCTGTCAGCGCCACCATACAGTGGATACCGCATTATTGTGGAGCACTTGGACATGACAGAGCTGATCACCTGGCAGAAGAAGGTGCGACAAAAAAGAGCAGCTTGATTTACCTTCAGTGATCTTTTTCATTTGAGGGTATGTGCCTACAGACCAGAACAGGTCGTTATCCTGCTCATCAGAACAGGACACAACCAGTTATGCAGCTACATGTATCATCATCATCATTATCAGGTGCCTTGCGTGGGCGATCATGCCTCTCCATAATCTGCGATCTCCTGCAGCATGTATCAGTAGCTACATGTATACAACATTTAAAATGGGTGTATCATCCAGGTGCACGTGTTGCCTCAGACAGCCAGGTGCACATGTTGCCCCAGACAGCAGGCAGGACAGATAGTTTGCCTAAATCAGCATTAAAGCTCACATTTTGTCCAGAAGGAACAGCAGCGGCATGGAGGAATATTTGTGCACAAGACTATTGGCACTACATATGGTAGAAGGTTGTGGACAGACATGGTGACCAATGCCTCATGGCATGCAATGTTTTGTGGTTGCTCCTGGCTAATAGCACTGTTATAGCTTGAGCTTATGCACACAGGAAGATTAGGAATGACTATATTCACTAATAATAGCAATAGGGTCAGTGGTTTCCTGTGAACAGTTGCTTTATTAATAGAAATTATGAAGCAGTTTTTCTTCTATTCATTTGTGTTAAACATTGACATGGTCACTGGATAACTGTTAACTGATGACTTCCCATATGCTGTTCAGAATTTAATACTGTTTTGGTCGATATATGGAATTATTTGTATCATTATTTTTTGGGGGCGAGACCTGTATAATATATATATATATATATATATATATATATTTGGTTAAAAAAGATGGGGGGGGGGGGGGTGGTGTGTGTGCAATTACCTAATTATGGGTCAGTTTGTTCCCTAGGAGATAGGGTTAAGAAAAAGGAAAAATTGCTGAGAACAGTAGATTGTAGAGAAGACTTCAGCTCATCTTTTGACTGATAAATCTGATAATGATGACTGCAGTGAAAATAACTAACATTGATCTGTGATTATTTGTGCTGCTAATGCCATTTGGTGAATTGTTATCTAATTATTTGACTTAGTTCAAAGCTAGACCTCATGTAATTTTGTATACATTTCAAACATTACTTGCTAGTGCAGGAATGCAGCATCTAAATTCAACAACTGACCAGACTTTCTTAAATGTGAAGTTCTGTTATGATACATAGATAAACCTCAGTGTGAGTTTGTGTAGATGCATTTCAACAGATGATTTAATGGTACCTTAATGCAGACCACCACAGGAATATTCCGGACACAGATGAATCGCCCTTTGAAAGATTACGGAGAAAAGCTCTCATGAAAAAGTTGCAAGCAGGAGAGTCTAAAAAGTTCAGAAAGTCACCAGTGAATAAAGAAGGTAAAAAATAACTGTGAAACTAATGCTAAGACAATAACTACAGTAGCATTGAAAGCTAATCTAAAACACTACACTGAGCTAAATCAGACATATTAACTTTTTTTAAACGGCATTCAAGGTATATAATCAAGCTATACTGGAAGAATATGCAATCCAATGACACAGTACACCATAACATTAAACCTAGTCAGTACTACCACCTCCAAATAGATAAACTAACAACTAGATAATATACACTTTTAGCAATAAATTTTTCACGTATACAAATCACATAACATCAAGTATCAAATCGCACACACATGCATCAGACAACTTATGTAATCGACACATTTCACACAGTGTCACATCACGTTCTTAACAGTGAGACATAACAGCCCAGTCAAGACAGTAACCCATATTGCACCATAGCTAAAATCATCTGTTCCTTTTCATTAAACCAGTTTGTAACACCCTGTATTTTATATAGTTCATTGTTCATTTTAAAGATCATCTTCCAGTATTTGCAGCCTACTGGAAATTGTACCTTGAAATTCCGACCCTGACCGGGAGCCTGAATTTTTACCTTGAAAAAGACATATTGACCTTGAAAAAGACATTTATATCTTGAATTTTGCTGTCTGCAATGGGAGAATTGAAGTAAAACATCTATCACAGGAATTTTTGGGCAGTTAGGCTATTTTCTGCCATTTGGCTACTTTTGGCTTCCTTTATTTTTAGGTGTTTATGGTCGTTTTTGTTAAGCAGGCAGTTGATTATCAGCCATTTTCAGCTAGAATGGCATAGGGCGGGAGAGAAAAGCTGTCTTAAGTGCATTAAGTCCTTTTTGGCATCTTGTCACAACACTCCCCACATGGTCCTTAAAGGTCAGGCTCCTGTCAAATGTAATTCCCAAATGTCTGAATGCAGCCTTTAGTGTGGCGGCAGCAGAGACGATAGACTGCTGTTATGGAAGCTAGAATGTAACAGTATCCGCCAGAATGGTTGCAAACACTTTGCCTAAGCCTAACCTTAAACCTTAACCCTAACCCTACACACTATTCCTGAAACCTAAGCCCTAACTCCCAACCTTAACCCTACATACTTGTACTATACAGACTCACGGGAAGCCTAGGCAGCGCCTTTATACACACAGAAAGCTTGGAAACACAAAACACAGACAGCGAAAAACCTGGTGTTTCCACCCTCTAAAATATTGGACTGTCTCGTGACCATAAAATATTGGACTGTCTCGTGACCACATCTTGGGTAGGATATTGGGAAAGAACCCAAATTATCCTGAAATGTGCATCATCATCAAGTGCCTTGCCGAATGGCTTAGGCCATCATGCAGCTGCATGTATCAGTTTATGTGTGGAGACTTCTCCATGCTATGTCAGCAGGCTGTCAAGAATCTTGCCTTCTTCTGTCTCTCTTTCCCTGGGTCACAACATGTTCCATTTTCCTCTTCTCATGACATGACCAAAATTGTACGACTGTCTCTTTCTGATGTTTGTGATAAGTTGTCTTTGAGACCTTGCTTCCTTTAAAACATATGGGTTGCTCCTTTTACCTGTCCAAGGAATTCTATGGATTCTTCTGTAAAAGTACATCTTTGAGGCCTCAAGAAAATGTTGTCTTGTTTGTTCTGGATTCACAACTGTACATTAAACTGGCTCTATGTAGCATGCAAGAATTCTTGTCCTAACCTCCAGTGAACTGCTGATTGTAAAACTTGCCTAGAAAAGCCACAGAAGCCAAAACAATGCTAGGATTGGTTCTGCAACATCCTGGAAAGGATACACAACAAACGTTGTAACCTCCAGTGACATGGATTTATTGCATAGAATGTTCTTCATTTTTTAAAAGGCGGTTCTGGCCTGTCCTATTCTGTTCTTTATTTCTGTGAAAGATATTTCCTTGTTGGTTTTGATAAGACTCACCATTTTTGGATAAAGCAAAACAAGGTCTGGTAAATTGATTCATATAATTGTTACAGTGAAAATGGAAGATGATGGATTCGAAAAGCCTGAATTTTGTCAGCCAGTAGAAATCAATAGACCTCTGAAAACTCACAAGCATAAACATGGCCACAGTGGTCAGAAGATAAAGAAAGAACGCCAGATCTACCTGCCTCCAGCTATGAAAACTGCTGCTACAGGTAGGAAATATTGTCTTGATGATTCGGCTACATTTAATATTTGTAGAAAAGTTATTGGCATTTTAGGTTATAGTTTGTGTTTATGGTCTCATACACCATACTGTAATATAGTCACTTTAACCTTTGAACCCATCCACACTTTAAAAAAAAAAAAAAAAAACTTGTTTGCACCGTGAGGAAATAATACACTAACTTATTGTGTCACATGTCCTTTTCTGTCCTTTCATGCCACATCGGAGAGAATTTTGATCTGTTGCCTCTTATGCTCAGTGAATATTTTATATCCTGCGTCTGTCCAGTTTTCTTTGTATTGGTCAACCTCGTCTTTCAAGAACCATGCTTTCTATACTTTTATTTGTGAGCCTTTGTGTTGATAATTTGGCCAAAGATATAGAGATCCAACACTAAGAGGAAACAGTTGAATGTAACACCCCGACCCTTGTATTCTGGTATTTGATAAGCTCACTACAAAGTTGTAATTGTATATTAAATATTTTGTTAATAAGTTTTAGTTCTCTGAGTCAACAAAATTGTTTCATTTGGCCAAATTTGCCAGAGGATGTGCACTATTTCATTGGTTAGCATGTTTGGCTGCTGGCTTAATGGTTCTGTATTTGTATCAGAGATTTGTTCACATGCCAGGGCTCCCAGTTAAACCTTCATAATATCTGCATTAGGAAATGTCAAGTAAAATCTGCAGGTGTGATATTAACCACATCACTAAATAATTACCAAGTGTATCTCATAGTATGAAAGTAAGATCTTGTTCTACTTTACAAAAATGAGTCTATGATGAGTATGTATTTGGCAGAGATGAGTACATAGATATCCATGAATGACATCCTCCTGTGGGTTCCGGTGGCCATTTTGAAAAACTTAAAAGACCAAAGACCAAAAGTGAGTCAACAATAACTCTAGAGCTTAATTGACATGTGGCAGTGAGCTTCTACGCATTGACATGTGGCAGTGAGCTTTTACACATTGACATGTGACAGTGAGCTTCTACACATTGACATGTGACAGTGAGCTTCTACACATTGACATGTGACAGTGAGCTTCTAGGAGATTAGAGCTTTTATTGTGATAATATACAGAAGTAAAGGAAGGAGATGAGAGGTTTTTTTGTGATAATATAAAGAAGTAAATGAAGGAGATGAGAGCTTTTATTATGATAATATACAGAAGTAAAGGAAGGAGATGAGAGGTTTTTGTGTGATAATATACAGAAGTAACTGAAGGAGATGAGAGCTTTTTTTGTGATAATTTACAGAAGTAAAGGAAGGAGATGAGAGCTTTTATTGTGATACTATACGGAAGTAAAGAGATGAGAGCTTTCATTCTGATAATATTCAGAAGTAAAGGAAGGAGATGAGAGCTTTTATTATGATTATATACAGAAGGAAGGAGATGAGAGCTTTTATTGTGATTAAATACAGAAGTAAAGAAAGGAGATGAGAGCTTTTATTGTGATTATATACAGAAGTAAAGAGATGAGAGCTTTCATTCTGATAATATACAGAAGTAAAGGAAGGAGATTAGAGCTTTTATTGTGATTATATACAGAAGGAAGGAGATGAGAGCTTTTTTTATGAATATATACAGAAATAAAGGAAGGAGATTATATCTTTTTTTGTGATAATATACCGAAGTAAAGGAAGGAGATGAGAGGTTTTTTTTGTGATACTATACAGAAGTAAAGGAAGGAGATGAGAGCTTTTATTGTGATTATAAACAGAAGGAAGGAGATGAGAGGTTTTATTGTGATAATATACAAAAGTAAAGGAAGGAGATGAGAGCTTTTATTGTGATTATACACAGAAGAAAGGAGATGAGAGGTTTTATTGTGATAATATACAGAAATAAAGGAAGGAAATGAGAGCTTTTATTGTGATAACATACAGAAGTAAAGAAAGGAGATGAGAGCTTTTATTGTGATAATATACATAAGTAATGGAAGGAGATGAGAGCTTTTATTGTGAAAATATACAGAAGTAAAGGAAGGAGATGAGAGCTTTTATTGTAATAATATACAGAATTAAAGGAAGGAGATGAGAGCTTTTATTGTGATAATCTACAGAAGTAAAGAAAGGAGATAAGAGCTTTTATTGTGATAATATACAGAAGGAAGGAGATGAGAGCTTTTATTGTGATTATATACAGAAGTAAAGGAAGGAGATGAGAGCTTTTATTGTGATTATATACAGAAGCAAAGGAAGGAGATGAGAGGTTTTATTGTGATTATATACAGAAGGAAGGAGATGAGAGCTTTTATTGTGATTATATACAGTAGGAAGGAGATGAGAGCTTTTATTGTGATTATATACAGAAGGAAGGAGATGAGAGCTTTTATTGTGATACTATACGGAAGTAAAGGAAGGAGATGAGAGCTTTTATTGTGATTATATACAGAAGGAAGGAGATGAGAGCTTTTATTGTGATGATATACAGAATTAAAGGAAGGAGATGAGAGCTTTTATTGTGATTATATACAGAAGGAAGGAGATGAGAGCTTTTATTGTGATAGTATACAGAAGTAAAGGAAGGAGATGAGAGCTTTTATTGTGATTATATACAGAAGGAAGGAGATGAGAGCTTATATTGTGATAATATACAGAAGTAAAGGAAGGAGATGAGAGCTTTTATTGTGATTCTATACAGAAGGAAGGAGATGTGAGCTTTTATTGTGATTATATACAGAAGTAAAGGAAGGAGATGAGAGCTTTTTTGTGTGATAATATACAGAAGTAAAGGAAGGAGATGGGAGCTTTTTTGTGTGATAATATACAGAAGTAAAGGAAGGAGATGAGAGCTTTTATTGTGATAATCTTGCACAAGTAACCCATTAAAAAAAAATTAGTTGCATTTTTTAAAATTAGTCAAAGAAAAAGTATATTGTTAAAATTCCTGCTGAAACATGTCTTTCAAAACATCAGTGTTTGACTTACATTTTCCATAACAAAATGTTTGCCTTCTTGTTTAATGAGTTTGTGGTCTACAGAAAGTATTATCATGTTCAGTTACAGCATCAAAGCCATCTCTGATACCTGTAAGCTCATCACCCAAACAAGACCTGAATATGGCCGTATTGCCACTGAAGCGTGAACCCCATCCTATTGGAGCAGCTTGGGCAGCTGGATTAACTCTGTCTTCAAAAGGAATATCTGTGAGGAGGCCTGAGTACACCAGCTTCACTGCTGGAAATGTAGACAAAAGTGACCACATTCAAGTACCAGAAAAGTTACCAGACAGAGATATAAGTGCCCGATCCAAAGAGGCTGCTCAATCTTTTAAAGTGAGTTGACTTAGTGCTTGTGGTAATGTTGAGTTTAGTTAAGAATTTATATCACAGCACTCAGGGCATTCCAATGCGCGCTCCGGCCTCATCTTCATTAGCCAGCACAGAGTTTCAGTACTAATGGTACCGGTTTTAATCTCTTTATATGTCCGTCTTGCCTTTCCTCTGAGTGTAGTGAGCCAGCCAGACCATCTAGTTACACCTAGTTGCAAATTTTCTCTTGACCATAATGATCTTGCTTCTCTTCTGACTTCCCTACATGTTCTTAAAGGGTCTTGACCACATCTGCCTTGTCGTCTCAATTCACTACCCACTGCTTTAGATCCAGCCAGTCTGTCTGCCTGTTCATTCCCCACCATGCCAGCATGGCCTGGAGAAAAGACCCAAAGTATGCTCACTATCGGTGACCTTCCCAGGGAAGCTTGCCATTCTGCCGTTTTTCTTTTTAATTGCTTCTTTTACTTCTTCGCACCACCAAGGTGAATATTTGTTATTTCCCCGTCTGTTTCCACTCTTCCGTTTTCCACATAATTCTTCTGCAATACTAAGCATAGTGTTTTTATATATACTCCATTCTTCCTCAATATTGCCAACTACATGTGGAAGTTGTTTGAATGCTGTCTCTACTTTCTGTTGTAACTGTTCTTTTACTCCTTCCTGTTTCAGATTCGCTACCTTGATGAGATTCTTGTTTTTGTTTAATTTCTTTCTGTGTTTCTTTAATGTAAGATGTTTTGCTTTTAACACAACTATTTTATGGTCAGTGTCACATAGACCATTAGGGATTGCTCTTGAATCAAGAATTCTCCTTCTTCCTTGAACTCTGTAAGTATAAAGTCAATCTGGCTCTCGATGGAGACATCATTCCATTTGTACCAAGTGTAAAGTTGTGAATCTCTATGGTCAAAGAATGTGTTCGTAATAAAAAGATTGTGCTGGCTGCATAGATCCAATATTTTTTGACCATTTCCATTTCTAGCACTGCTCTTAGCTGCATATGGACCTAAAAACTGTTCGTATTCTCTTCTGTTATTTCCTACCCTCCCGTTGAAGTCACCCATTACATATAGAATGCTGCTTCCCTCAACTTTCTTTATCTCATCAGACAGATCATCAAAGAATTCATCTTTCTGCTCTTCTGTATAATTATCATTGCATGGTGCATATATCTGTATATATGTTTCAGCTTGTTCTCCTCTTTTAATTTTCAAAGTAATAATTCAATCTGAGTGATAATGTATGTCTAATATGTAGTTAGATATGTCCGGATGTACCAGGAAACCCACTCCATTCTTCGATGTTTCTCCTCCTGCAAATGTTAGTAAGTAGCCTCTGTGTATTTTCTTATTAATATTTCCCTTGCGACTTATGTCAGATAGCCCCATTAACTTGATTTTCCTTTTTTCCATCATTTCAATAATCTCTTCTGTTTTATTTCCCAGGCCAGCGGTGTTAAGTGTTGCAATCTTGTATTTCGCTTTTCTGTCTCATAGTCCCTTAACATTGTCATGGTCAGATACCGTTTGATCAGTCTGTTTATATCTCATTCTGATTTCTGTAGCGGTAATAAATCCATTGCCGGCTTGCTAGGCCTGTCGCAACTTCGCCAAATCCCGTTTGCCAGGACGTTTCGGGGTGACCCAGGGTGGCCTTCATGGCTACCGTAGCGGTCCCGTGGCACGAGGCCACACCATACTTCGCCCACACCTAGCAATCTCCTACTTTGTCCTGTTACCACCTCTCACGACGAGGACGTGGGGTTGGCCTTTGAGAGGCATATTCCAGTTTGGTTTGTTAAATACCAATGCCACGAGGGTTTCTGAGATAGTTTACTTCAATACTCTAATGTCAATATCGAAATTGCTGTTTGTATTTGTAGAAATATGTTGTGAGTAATGACTGTTTGGGTGTACGCTCCCCACCTTTTTTTACAACATCAGACTGTACTTCCACTCTGTGCTGCCAGTGCCAGACATGGTCATTCACAACAAACCAGAAAAGACAGTTAGAAACTATGGGAAACAAGATGTCTGAGAAAGGCTGCAGGAGTGACCAGAAAAGATCAAATCAGGAATGAGGTCATAAGAGAACAAATTGGCATAGAACCAACCAGTTGTAAATGACATACAAAGACGGCCCATCAAATGGTTTGCCCTCTTAGTAAGGATGCTTTATGACGCCATATCATACAGGGCATACACAAGGAGCAGACCTGTCAGAGAAACTCTACAATAGCACAATATGTCTATGGTCAAGGCAGAACATGTCAGAGAAACTCTACAATAGCACAATATGTCTATGGTCAAGGCAGAACATGTCAGAGAAACTCTACAATAGCACAATTTGTCTATGGTCAAGGCAGAACATGTCAGAGAAACTCTACAATAGCACAATTTGTCTATGGTCAAGGCAGAACATGTCAGGGAAACTCTACAATAGCACAATATGTCTATGGTCAAGGCAGAACATGTCAGAGAAACTCTACAATAGCACAATTTGTCTATGGTCAAGGCAGAACATGTCAGAGAAACTCTACAATAGCACAATTTGTCTATGGTTAAGGCAGAACATGTCAGAGAAACTCTACAATAGCACAATTTGTCTATGGTCAGGCAGAACATGTCAGAGAAAAACTCTACAATAGCACAGTTTGGTCTATGGTCAAGGCAGAACATGTCAGAGAAACTCTACAATAGCACAATTTGTCTATGGTCAAGGCAGAACATGTCAGAGAAACTCTACAATAGCACAATTTGTCTATGGTCAAGGCAGAACATGTCAGAGAAACTCTACAATAGCACAATTTGTCTATGGTCAAGGCAGAACATGTCAGAGAAACTCTACAATAGCACAATTTGTCTATGGTCAAGGCAGAACATGTCAGAGAAACTCTACAATAGCACAATATGTCTATGGTCAAGGCAGAACATGTCAGAGAAACTCTACAATAGCACAATTTGTCTATGGTCAAGGCAGAACATGTCAGAGAAACTCTACAATAGCACAATTTGTCTATGGTCAAGGCAGACAGAAGAGCAAGAAGCAGAACCTTCTTTCTTCCTCATCCCTATCTGGGTTCTGGGGGGGAAAGAATAGTCTTGCTGCTCCTCTAACAAGCATGTCTTTAGACAGTGACTAATTAGAAGTGTTTCTTTCAAAGTCCGAGTGCATCTGTCTCAGAGGTGAGGAACTAACAGTCTGCATGTCACTTAACCAGATTCATAAAATGGATGTATACACAAAACTCAGTTTCTGAAACAGGACCAAAGTCCAGAAGTGGACAAACAGCCGGAAGTTTCCCCTGAAGTTTACAGCTGGTGAATGTGAAGAAGAAGAAGAAGAAATCTCCGTTGACATGCCTAAGAGGTAAAAGAGGAAGTGAAGAAGATGAAAATAAAGTGATTTTTGTGTGTGTTAGTGTTAAAACAGGCTTAGAAAAACAGAATCAAGTTGGAGCATTCTCCCAGTCAGCCATCATATTTGCTGTTATTTAAGACCGTGATTATGAGTTTCATTTAAATATCTGGCTAATCATGACATTGTTTGATTGCATGAAAGGGTGCATGCAGCCAGTGCAAAGCTCAGCATATGGATGTGAGGTTAAGCAGATGATTCCTTGGGTGAGCCCAGGATCAGAGCGTTATGTGTCGGCTGTGCAGTTATATGAGCCTTCTTGAATGACAAAGAATACCCATGATCTACCTCTGTCTTTTCTCTTGAGGGCTGATCAGTCTACACGAAGTTGCCTTGGATGGCTTTTCCAGAGACAAAACCTGTAGATAAAGAGATAAGGAAGACACCACCTGAATAAAGCTACACCGTGTTCTTCGAAACTATTGAAACACTAGCCACAAAAACCAGCCAACCATGGAAATGTTTAAAAAAAATGCTGAAAGGAATTTGGATCGTCGATGTACCTCCTCTCATCAAGAAAAATATCCAGAATTGGTGTTTGGAATGTTAAAACTTTGTACAATGTAGGAATGTATTAATGTAGAACAGTAGAAGTATTCAGAAAAATGAAAAACACATAAAGGAGCAATAGAATGAAGTTAAAAAGATGCGGAGGGCATAGGGTCAGCTATGTGCAGTAGCAAAGGATAGAACGCTTGGTTGAGGACCTGAACTCCATTGGGGGGATAGAAGGCAGAAGAAGAATATTCTTGAGAGTGACATTTCCACTGAGTTTCACTTTCTTTAACCTCCAACCTTTGTGTGTGTGGCATTGTGGTTTGTAAAAATAGCTAATACTTAAAAAAGGTTTCACATTCAACAAAAACAGAAATAATGGATGTTCTGATGCTTCTGAGACTATATATTGTTGGAAGCAGTCACAATTTTGCGGACTAGTTTTAAGATTTTTTTGTGTAATGCTGTTTCCCGTTTTTTTTTTTTTTTTTTTGCAGATGCCTGAATCAGCATCAGAATCATCAGTGACTATCAAATCATTTGCAGAAATTATGGCAGAAAAGCGCAAGCGAAGGCTTGAAATGCAGGTTCAGAAAGCTGGTACTACAGCATCTGTAGTGACTTCCTCATTAGAACCATCAGTACGGTTTTCTTCATCTGCCTCAAGCCATCAGCTGAACTCTGACATCAGCCAGTCAGTGGATGCTAACTCTGCTTCACCTTCAGTTTATACATTAGGTGAGATGCCTTTATTGTTATCATCTTTCCTTTCAGCAAGGTTATGCGAATTTAGAATGAAGTGTGGATCCAGTAAAAAAGGAAGTATGAGAGGAAAAGTATGACTTGTAAACGACAAGTGTGCTACTGGAACAGTTACCATCTACACCTTAAGGCCATTGTCTGCAGGAGATGAAGCATCTATGGGTTTTCCCATCATGCTATGATGTTGATTCTTAAATGAGTAGTTTATTGGACTACTTACCAACAAGAAACCAGTGTGAATGTAATTCAAATGATCCACCTAGAATGAGGGTTTTTATTTATGCTCTCTCTCTCTCTCTCTCTCTCTCTCTCTCTCTCTCTCTCTCTCTCTCTCTCTCTCTCTCTCTCTCTCTCTCTCTCTCTCTCTCTCTCTCTCTCTCTCTCTCTCTCTCTCTCTCTCTCTCTCTCTCTCTCTCTCTCTCTCTTTCTCTTTCGCACACACACCCATGTGCACATAGACACACACACACACCCCTCTCCCTTTCACAGCTTTTACAAAATGGACAGTGTTATATAATTTGGAGCAATTCATAAACTAATGTTAACAGACTAATAATAAAACACTCTCAGATACACAGATGACCAGTGTTAATTGGCAGAATGTGGACATGAATTAGAAAACTTTGTAATAGAAGTAAATAGGTGACATGCAGAACTCCTATTTGACGTTAACATTTTTAAAAACATAGTATGCAAAAAAGTAAATATCAGAGTAAAGAGAAAAAAAGTAATAAGATTCTCATATCTTCTACATAATGACAGAAGTGAAAAGGCTGAGTGGTTTCGAGGCATGGCGTCCACCTTGAGTGCCTGAAGGTCCCGGGTTCAGGCCGCGGTGAAAGCTGCAATTTTTTCATGTGGACTTCTAGTAATTTCCTCTGGTCTCTGGGTAGTAATATTGGGCGCCCTTATTTATTGTTGCGCACGTAAAAAATCCCTTGGCAGTTGGAAATCAAAAAGAGTAGCCTAATGACGTTGATCCGTTTTTCAAAACCAAACCAAAATATGTATCCGTTCAGGTTTTGGGTTAGAGAATCGTTTCCCACATTGAAGGTTCTTTAGAAAAGATGTCACTGATTTTTTGCACAAATAAATCAGATAGTTGATGAAAGTTTTGTCTTTTCAGTCAGTTTTTAGTTAAGTTGTTTGCTATTCTGTGCATGGGGTTGTTCATTCATTAAAATTTTTCTGTTATGGTAAGCACCTTTTCTTCTCTTCAGTGGCTCTGGAGGCCAGAAGTTGCCTTCAGCTCATGGACTGGTGTGCTTCTCATACCTCCACAGTGATGATTCTGAGACCAGTGTTCAGTATTTTGTCCAGTTTGCATAGATTTGATTTGGAGTATGCTTCCAGTTTTGGTCGTACATATCCTGTGTGTACTTGTCGTACAGTGTTGGCATATGCACCCCAGCTTGTTCTGGTAAGTTTGTTCTTCAAAAGTCTGAGCCGCAGGGTAGCTTTCCTTTAAGTGTCTTCAATGTGGGGGCCCCAGGTTAGTCTTTTGTTGAATTTTAATCCCGAATATGTGGGGTTTTCCTCTTTTGGAAAGATGTTGCCTTTTAGGTATAGATCAACTTGTTCTGGCTTTGTGGAAAGAGAGAAGAGACTTGAGGCGGTTTTGATCTGATTTATTGTGACTCCCCAAGAGTCTATCCATTTCTTAACTGTAATTGTATCTTCTTGCATTCTTGTTTTAGTTGTTCCTGTATGTTCAGCTTGGATCCATATGGCCAGGTCATCTTTTCCTATATGTTCAGCTTGGATCCAAATAGCCAGGGCATCTGTTCCTATATTTTCAGCTTGGGTCCATATGGCCAAGTCATCTGTTCCTATATGTTCAGCTTGGGTCCATATGGTCAGGTCATCTGTTCCCATATGTTCAGCTTGGATCCATATGGCCAGGTCATCTGTTCCTATATGTTCAGCTTGGATCCATATAGCCAGGTTATCTGTTCCTATATGTTCAGCTTGGGTCAATATGGTCAGGTCATCTGTTCCTATATGTTCAGCTTGGGTCCATATGGCCAGGTCATCTGTTCCTATATGTTCAGCTTGGATCCATATGGCCAGGTCATCTGTTTCTATATGTTCAGCTTGGATCCATACGGTCAGGTCATCTGTTCCTATATGTTCAGCTTGGATCCATATGGCCAGGTCATCTGTTTCTATATGTTCAGCTTGGGTCAATATGGTCAGGTCATCTGTTCCTATATGTTCAGCTTGGGTCCATATGGCCAGGTCATATGTTCCTATATGTTCAGCTTGGATCCATATGGCCAGGTCATCTGTTCCTATATGTTCAGTTTGGATCCATATGGCCAGGTCATCTGTTCCTATATGTTCAGCTCGGGTCAATATGGTCAGGTCATCTGTTCCTATATGTTCATTTTGGATCCATATGGCCAGGTCATCTGTTCCTATATTTTCAGCTTGGGTCCATATGGCCAGGTTATCTGTTCCTATATGTTCAGCTTGGATCCATATGGCCAGGTCATCTGTTCCTATATGTTCAGCTTGGATCCATATTGCCAGGTCATCTGTTCCTATATGTTCAGCTTGGATCCATATTGCCAGGTCATCTGTTCCTATATGTTCAGCTTGGATCCATATGGCCAGGTCATCTGTTCCCATATGTTCATCTTGGATCCATATGGCCAGGTCATCTGTTCCTATATGTTCAGCATGGATCCATATGGCCAGGTCATCTGTTCCTTTATGTTCAGCATGGATCTATATGGCCAGGTCATCTGCATGTAGGGCCTTGTGAATGTGAGTCATGAACGATTTTGGGAGGTCATTGATGAAAAAAGTAAATAGGGTGGGAGACACTCATATCAGTCACAGTCTGTTAACATGTAAAGGTCACAAAGAAAAAGTTTTAAACAACAGCTGGGCTCCCCTGGTGCCTCCCAATAAATCAGTATCATATGAACTGATTGTTTGTTACCTCCCCAACAAGCATGTCGTAGGAGTCAACTAACTGGGGGTATCCTTTAAAGTTAGAGTGCATCTGTCTGAGAGGCAAGGAATCAACTACATGTGTGAAATGGACCTACATGCAACACTCGGGTTCTGCAACAACACTACAGTCCAGAGATGGATGAACATCCAAAACATTCTACCAGAATGTTCAGCCAGTGGACAAGATAAAGAAGAAGAAGTCAACTATAAACAGCTACCCAGGGTCAGACTAAGCGTTCAAGGACTGTGTCTCTTGCAGGGTCTGTCAACTTTATTATATACTTGGATATTCATTTGCCTTTTTTAATTGTTATTCTGATGCTAAATACTACTCAGACTATGGAGCAGATACTGTTATAAGAATTGCCATTTAATTGTCAGCAGTTCTGCTTTGTGGAGTTGTAGCCATGTAATTTAATTTTCACAGATACTGTCTATCCTAGAAACACTGGCAGACACCCCATATGAACACCAAATAAGGTGTTAAAATAATAAATTTATATATTTCAATCTGAAACCATTAACAAATGTCTTTGGCAGAAAAAAAATAACTAAAACCTAATTTTCCAGCGTTGAACAGGGAGGGCACTCAAGAGTCAAGTATATTATAGTAAGGCCATACATGCATCACTGTGCAGACGTTGATCTTATCCTCAGGAGAGGAACAATCACTTTTTCTTTGAGTTGTCTGCACATTTAGAAATATTAACTTCCATCACTTCTGGAATTTATTTGTTTATAAGCAAGTTTTTCTTCTATGTTCAAATCTGATAGAAAACTGGAGACAAGATTGCAAATATAGATCATCTATTTCAAGCCAGTGAAAACAGGAGACAAGAGAACAGAGACTGTCAGTATTTTCTGTTTCTGAGTCCACTCAGTCACCCTCAATTGAACATAGTATTTTCATGTTTCTATAATATTCCTGTTAACATGATCAGACATAGGTTCAGTGTTGCCAGGTACATCTGACTTGACTGAGTTCTGACAATTGTAGGATGATAGTAGAATGAGACACAGCTTAGAATGACAATCCCTATATGTGCAGTGTTAATATGTTTCAGATCAGTGTTTGGATACTTCAGAAACAGCCATCAATTCAGGCCAAGCTTCCAAACAGTCATTGGTAACCAGTGTGAAAGAAGTCACTTCAAGTGTCTCCAGAGTCTCATACTCTGCTTCTGCAGTGTCATCATTCACAACACCATCATCACCAGATTTCGCTAGACCTGTTGATCAGAAAGTCAGATTGAAATCTGTGAAAAAGAATAAAGCTGACAAAAGGAACAAAGTTACAAAGCTGTTCACAAAAAGAAAGGACTTAGAACCAAGTAGCCAGAGCTGCACTGCTACCTCAGAAGACAGCAGTAGTCATATGTTATCTTCATCATTGTATTCAGATATGTCAACTTTATCTCAGACTGTTACTTCATCCAGAGATAACACATCTTTGCTGCATGATGGGTTCAACAAAACATCTTACCCAGCAAAGCCTTTTTCTACACCCAGCATAGAAACTACCACCATAGGAGTAAATGTCACTGATAATGGAACTGTTTCTAAGCTGCCCATACATATGAATGCACCAGATGTTAAAGAACATACACATTCAAGTAAACAGAATGTTGCTGTACTTAAGGAAGACTCAGAGTAAGTTAGATCTTCTTGGCTATCATCTTTGAAAGAAGTAAAATAATTAAATGAATAGTAAAGACATTTCTGCCACACAAATGTCATACTTCAAGTCAGTGATTATATATTGTTGGCTTCACAAACCTGCAACACTCTTTGTTGCAAATGCTTGTTTTCATTGCTGTCCAGCCAAGTCACTTTACTGCAGCCTTTAATATTGAGTGTTTTCATTGCTGTCCAGCCAAGTCACTTTACTGCAGCCTTTAATATTGAGTGTTTTCATTGCTGTCTAGCCTAGTCACTTGACTGCAGCCTTTAATATTGAGTGTTGTATCTACTTTCACTGTGTCCTCCTGTCCCTGAGTCTCAGATTGTGAATATTT